CGCCGTGAACGCCTTCCTAAACGCCCTGCTCGAAGAAGCTGTATACACGAGATCACCAGAGGGATTTCATACAAAAGGGAAGATATGGAAGCTGAGGAAAGCGCTATACGGACTACGGAAATCGCCACGCCTTTGGCAGCAAGCCCTCTCCACTACACTGCTCAAGTTTGGCCTCCATCCCGTACCCGAAGAGCAGTGCCTCTTCGTGAACCGATATATGATCGTATTAGTCTATGTTGACGATATTATCATTATCAATCTACCTACCGCCGAAGCCCGAGAAGCCGCAAGACGATTCAAGGAAGCTCTCGCGGAGGAATACGAGCTGCGAGATATGGGAGAAGTAGGCTGGTTCCTGGGAGTAAGGATCATCCGAGATAGAACTCGCAGGAAGCTCTGGCTCTGCCAAGATGCATATCTCGAGAAGATCGCCGTGAAATTCCATTTGAATGATCTCAAAGAATGGCCAAATACACCGCATTCAACCTCGCTTAACCTCGATCCCCACGAAGGCCAGGCAACAGAGGCAAAGATCAAGGAATATTCAATGAAGATAGGGTCAAGCCAGTACCCTGCAATGGTCACACGACCTGATATTGCACACATGATCAGCCGCTTATCTGAAGCGCTCAAGAACCCCTCAGCAGATCATATTCGCGCTGCAGATCGAATTATCGCCTATCTCTACGCCACACGTTTCCATGCAATCGAATACTCCGCTGAAACAGACGATCAAGAGATCGCAGTTATCGCTTCAGATGCAGCTTTCGGAGATCGGCCGGACCGCCGGAGCTCTGCAGGGTTCCTTATGAAGCTTTACAACGGACCCGTGGAATGGAAAGCGAGCAAGCAGCGAGCCGTGACGACCTCCACAACCGAAGCTGAATTCCTCGCCCTATCTGAAGCCGCCAAGGCAGTATACTGGTGGAGGAGGGTCTTCAACACCATGGGCTTCAATCCCCAACACGAAATGATCGTTTCTTGTGATAATCAACAAACCGTCCGATTGGTCAACTCCGAGGACGTAGAGCAACGCTCTAAGCTCCGCCACGTTGATATACACCGTTCATGGCTTCGCCAGGAAGCTCAGAAAGGTGATCTATACGTACGGTGGATCCCTACCGATCGAATGATTGCAGACGGGCTCACGAAGCCCCTCCCGGCTCAAAACCACCACAAATTCATGAAGATGTTAAATCTCGTCGACATCAAGGACCTCATTATGGCTCAAGAAGGGAGATAATGGCCCTACGCAAGGCGCTGAGGGGGTGTGTGGCCGCGGAACTGACTAAGCAATTACTTCATCACCTTGCTTAACCGATTAAGCAATCGATCAATATTGATCGTACGATTATAGAGCTTGAATCGTATGATCAAGCTCTTTTATTGCATATCTGAAGCCCCTGAAATTGCATAAATATGGCCTCTTTTTGCAGTAGATTAGAATAATCAAGACCTTCAATCGTTTCATATGATCATATAAGCTCGGCGTATTAATCAGCTCTTTGCCAAGACCATTTCTGCCACAGGTTATCTCAAAATCCGGTCACGTGATCTGATAAACTGAAAGCCTCTCAATTGGGAGATTTGGGATATCCCCAGAATCAGTTACGTTCCTAGATGAGCCGCTTCTCTTCGACAAGCGTGGCCAGCAATTTCCAAAAATGGGATCATATTGGTGATTACAAGTACCGCGTACAAACATCCAGCCGTCTGTTGGTGGACGACTCTTGCTAGCATGCTAGGGCCTCAAAAAAACAGTCTCATAAACTTTCTGGTCGTGGTTCAGACCTAGCAACTGTTAGTAGGAACCTAAATTGCCTATTACCTCTTAACCTACATACTCATACCTGAGTAAAAATGATCGTAGGCACTCAACTGCACGCTCAGGGGAGTTTTCCCGACGTATCTTTTCTGTCAATTGTATGATCTGATCGTAGGTTCCGTGCTGCATTAAAGAAACAATTTGCATGATCATATCATGAGACACCCTGGCATCATTTTGGATCTTCTCCCAGTACTCCTTACGACGCTTGTCTTCGTGAGGATTAAAGAGGCACTGGATGCCGGATTGGATGCATTCTTCACAAGACGGCGGCGAGCCGACACTGCACATCCGTTAGTAAGATGGTCACGAAGTATCACAGAAAGGATTATGACCTTCACACGCTTAATTCGGCACGACGTACAGGCCATACCCCGGCGCCTCTGTGCCTTCTCAGGAAGACATGCACCTTGGACTGGCACTTCACTTTTTGCCGATGCCGGGAGCAAAGGGCGTAGAGGTTTTTCATTAAATGGAGGCATGCTGCAAGCATAGATTTCACTGATCTGATAGAGTATCCAACCATGAAATCAAATCCATATTGAATTTCCTCATGGATGCTCTCATATACTAGGGGAATGTTTGATAGTAGTGTATTGCATGAAACTATTTATTGACCTTCCTGCATGTTTGCCACAATATTTGACTCTGGTCGGACAGTGGGCTGCTGACGCCTCCTAAGCAAACAAAGAAAATACTCTCACATGGCTTGGAACCAATCCTTGGCATGGACTCATGCTTTTGTTGGTTTGGATTCGGCGTGCCCTTTCGTGCGGTCTGGTCCCGTGCGCGAGAATTTGGAACAGCATGGAAGTTTGAGGAGATGTTAATATTAGAGGCATCTAGTGCTACGATGCTCCATTTCTCGGGTCCTGCGATCAGATCTTGATATGTTCTCCGGAGTGCTTTGATTCCTGTGTAAGACGGGTAAGTCCTCAAGATGATAGAGACTGGCCGTGGGAGCTCATTTTCAGTTGTTATGAGCGAAAACACCTCCAAGAGCTGAGCTGTATGCTCGAAACGGGTCTTAGTTTGCTATGGTGGTTTACTGAAGAAACTACGTAAAGAATGCGCGTGGAGCTTCTGGCCACATTTAGTTAGGTGTTTGCGGACTTGCTTACAATTAGGATGTCCGTCATGCTGTGTCTTTAGGGCGCCGGCATACGGACGGGACTCTTGCTTCGCCGTTGATGCAGATTAACTGCGCCGCCGGAGCGGAGTTTAAGCACCTATAGTGATAAAATGTTGGTTCGCTTTGTGTCGCCATCCAGAGTTGAAGCAGTAACGGCCAGACGAGGCTTTAGATGAGGACCCGAGGTTTTTCGACGATGTTCCTGATAACAAAGTGGAGGTTATTATTTGTTTTAGAACGACTGATATAACTCAAGGTTTTGATGCCACATTGAAAATTATCCGAACCCACAAGGATCAATTCCCCCGGAAGATCACGTCGACCGTCAAGCTGGCACCCTCCGCCAGGCAAATGACTTATGATATTCAGATCATATGTCAGGATTGTTGATTTCCACTCTCTTTCCGCTTATAGGATCTTCAACAGTAGCCGCGTAGTCCATGATTTTTAGAGTGTTCAGTGCTTTTCTCACTTCTTGGAGAACATCAGCTCCAAACGTGGGATATTTCTGGACCTCTTCTTCAAATTTGTGGTTTTTGTCTCGAAGATATCCCTCAACCGAAGCTGCAGCTAGAACATGACGCACCGCATGCCCATCGGGCAGGAAGGTTGCCGATATGATATGCTCAGTTGTAAGACAATAAGTGTTTATATCGACATACCGCCCTGTAAGAGGCTGGGGCTCCGGGTTGGCTGCCAGAATTTCCTTGATCTGTCGGGCCATTTGAGATTCCAAACCAGTGACAGTGCACATATCTGCGAACCTCGCGAGTTCTATCGCAGCCGAAATTTGATCTTCCGGTAACTCTAGGTCAAAGTTTACCCTGCGGAGGTATATCCATTGCAAGAGGGCTTCGAGACTTTGCGCCGAGACAATACCTTCAACCTCTTCTAAGACGGCTATCTGCTCTTTTCCCTCCTTGAATTCACTTGTAAACATTGCAGAGAAATATTTGGAATCTTTGCAGAGGAGATTACTTGAGACTGTATATCCATTGTCGCCAGGATTAATTCGAATCTCGACGGACGGACCGTGATATAGTGAAAGTACGCTGGAAAACAGAACCCTTAGTCTAGACACGCCGTTTTGTAGATCGGAATCTACGTACGATCTCGCAAACTCTTTAGCACTTGCTTCAGATATGTCAGTCATACTTTGAATGTTGATGGTGTGACTTGCAAAGACGTTGAAAGAAAGGGGCAGAGTGAAGTTGAGAAACTATGTATGTCAGGGTTTTGAAGAATATGTCGGAGCGGTGGGTCAGGGCAGAACCAGCGTATGCGACCATACAAAGACACGGATGATGCAGTATATTTAACTAACTAGTTAACTATAGGAATGATGACTGTGAGGATATATTATTATTCCGGGTCTAATCCCAATACGTACTAGCGGATATTCTTGGAGGGTTTGAGATATTAAAAAAGAAACTTAGGGGTGACACAAGTTCTGACTTCTACTTAACTGCCTTAAGACAAGTTCTCAGTAGGTAGCGACTGCTGCCGCGAAACGGGACAGGACCAACAACCCCTTTTTGGTGTTATGGTTTGATTGTGATTCTAAATTATTAAGGGCGATATAGAATTAACCCTTAAAATTTTTCTGCCCGTGGTACAGACCTATTCACTGTTAGTAAAGAGCCCCCAAATTGCCTACGCTGTTAAGGGTCTACACGAAGGGCCTACGCTATACTTACCCACGGGGGTATACCCAGAGGGTAATACCCGTGGGTATCTAGTACCAAGCCGGAGAGAAGGACTAAAAGATTAGCTAACTAAAACATTCTCCACCCAATCGTAGGTTCGTGCATTTCCTAATACCTTAGCATCCCCCAGATCTCCCGCAAGAAATTATTCCAACCCACCTAAACTCTCCGCTATTTTCTGAGCCATCAGACTATACCAGAAACCGAATCCACAACACTTATGCTGCCCTACTGTTTATTATGCTATAAATAAATATCGAGTCTAACTGTATTCTATGAATCTAGGAATACGCAGTCGGATATTTAATTGTTCGATTGAAGTCGCGCCAAGTAATTCTCAAATAGCAACTATAGAAATAAAACCACCTTCACTTGGAATGGGAAGACCCCTTGACGCAAGCTCGACAGCTCTTTTCTTTTTATGTTTCGAGGACAGACTTTCCCAATTCTGGTACAGCACTAAGTCTGCGCATGAAATTCTCGCTATATGACCTTGGGCTTGTGCTTGATCAAGAGCCTTGGGTAGTATTTCGTGATTGGGAGTATCGCTAGGAGATAAAGAAGCAGCAGGCCAGCCATCGGTATTAGGAGACACTTGGGGAATGGTCCACTGCTCGAATTCTTCTTCAGCAGGGGGCTCTGTGGGAACGGGCTCAGATTCTTCAAGAACAAGCGCAGGTTCCTCAGAGGCAAGCGCAGGTTCTTCAGAGGCAAACGCAGGTTCCTCAGAGGCAAGCGCAGGTTCCTGAGGGGCAAACTCAGGTTCTTCAGAGGCAAACTCAGGTTCCTCAGAGGCAAGCGCAGGTTCCTGAGGGGCAAACTCAGGTTCTTCAGAGGCAAACTCAGGTTCCTCAGAGGCAAGCGCAGGTTCCTGAGGGGCAAACTCAGGTTCTTCAGAGGCAAACTCAGGTTCCTCAGAGGCAAGCGCAGGTTCCTGAGGGGCAAACTCAGGTTCTTCAGAGGCAAACTCAGGTTCCTCAGAGGCAAGCGCAGGTTCCTGAGGGGCAAACTCAGGTTCTTCAGAGGCAAACTCAGGTTCCTCAGAGGCAAGCGCAGGTTCCTGAGGGGCAAACTCAGGTTCTTCAGAGGCAAACTCAGGTTCCTCAGAGGCAAGCGCAGGTTCCTGAGGGGCAAACTCAGGTTCTTCAGAGGCAAACTCAGGTTCCTCAGAGGCAAGCGCAGGTTCCTCGGGGGCAAGCCCAGGTTCGGGAGAAGGCGCTTGGGGAACAGGCTCAGGTTCTTCAGAAAGAGAATAAACTGAAGCAGTTCCATTTAGGCTTTTCCCTAATTATGCATTGGAAAAATCAATTTCAGCTCTAACAAAATACCATCGTTTTGTTGTTGAGATGACTTACCGTGCTGGTCTTGCATGGAAAGTAAACGATTTGAGAGTATCTCGAAGATCATTTTCATCACGACGATATCAAACTGGTGGTCTCGAACGAGAATATTATAAAATTCGCGCAGACCAAGCGCTAGATCTTCAGGCGCTAGTAGTCGTTGCAACTTCTCCTCAATGTAACTCGGAAGCCATGCTTCACCAGCGGGAAGACTTGGAAAAATGTCCCTCGTTATCTGCAGCACTTCAAGAATAGGAACTTCCTCATCTAATTGCTTCATTTTTTGTTTGGCAAGGTTCTCAAGTTCAAGAAGGCCGTACGTCTTTGAGGCGTGGTAGATGAGAACGCTCTTCTTGTATTCTCTGGAGATATCGGATGTGCCCTCGTTAAGAGGCGAGTTGACCGTCTCGTAGCCACCTGTGTATAAGAAATGTACCATGGTATGACCAACATCCTCGTGGATATCAGGTATGGCGATAGTCGTTGAAAGTCCAAAAGGTGTCAACTGGAATTTTGGGTATTTCCGAAGAAAATGAGCCGGAAGACCAAATCGCTTTTTCCCTATAACAAGAGTGACAAACGGTGTTTCGTAGGGCCAGCAAGTAGGTCAGAATATGCTGCTTTCAATTTATTCGAAGAACTTACGAAGACAACGGTCTGTGATAGTCAATCTTTGGAGAAACCTCTTGAGACAAGGAACACCTGGCCGCCTCATTCGATCGGCGCTTGTTCATACCCTTTTTGGATCCTTTTTTGGCCATTTTATTATGTCGGCTATTAAGCAACTACTAGGAGTTTCTGAGAGTAAAGATGAAAGGCAAGGACGTGGGAAAGCCTTACTATTTTAATATAAGTGAAAAAAGAGAGACGCGGGGTAATGCAGGTATGAGCTGTTCTGCAAGGCAGCCGAAACACACTATCTGTGTAGTAAGGAGCAAATCAGTGTTATTTTCTGCATAATATGAGTCACTAGATAGGCGACTTCCAAATGGCTGCCTTTTTTTGCAACCAACGATTCCCACGCATGGGTCCAGCAGATTCTGAGAACAAAGCAATATCTAATCAGATAGACAAGGTTTTATTTCGTATAATACAATAGAACCTTTATCAGGACCATCAAGGACTTTTAAGGGCCTACGCTATACCTACCCATGAGAGCATACACCGAAGTATACTATTCCTGGTCCTGCTATAGAGCCATGGCGAACAGCAGCTCCCCAAGCCATAAGCGCTTTTCTAGAAACGGAGGAAGAGCGGAGACGTGAGGCAGAGTTGGGGGAGCAGGCAGAGAATTTTCTGTGTAACGATGAGCTACGCCGAATTCTGATTATTGGCTTCCATTGTTCGGTATTGAAGGTAAAAAAATGTGACCAGGATTTTTACTCCATCGCCTTTAATTTACTTCAGATTAGATGATCTGCTAGTAGTGGTCTTTCCTGGTCGATTGACTGGTGGGCATAGCCAATGTTTGCCCAAAGTAGGGTAATCATGTGATTGTTTTCAACTCTTGATTTCCCTCATCCAACTTGTCTCGGGATTTTTACCCCTTCACAGCTTGGACTATCGCTAACTTCGCAGGAAATCCAGTCTTTCAAAGGCTTTAGATGAGAGCCCGAGCTTTTCTACGATGTTCCTGATAAGAAAGTGGAAGTTATACACGGCACAGAAAAGACGCAAATAGTTGAGTGGTAAAACAGCCATGTTACGGTTTCGGAAACCGATAACACCGGAAAAGAAAGAAAAACGCGTATAACTGAGACCAATTCTGGCAAAGGAATGCTGAAGCCAGGCATTACTTTGTATATCAAAATCTTGCATTATATACATAGCTTCTTGGCCAACTCAACAGCGCGCAAGGGATCTAGGAAGATCTCAAATAACGCACCCTCTCCTTTGATAGTCATCGCCACGTTCTCAATTGGCTCTTCTGCCGAGCCCGCTTCCGGGTTATCAACAATAGCTGTAATGCTCATTGGCGGCAGATTGCCTGTTTTAGGTTAGTGTCTCTCCGAATAACCGAAATCAAAACGCTAGAACCAGCTAACACGAGATTGGTAACACTGTCCCTTTGTTGTGCCATTAGGCGGTGTGACACCGGATGGACCTCTTGCTTCCGACACTGATGACGTGTACCACTTGTGGTGTCAGTACGATGGCAGCGGGCTGCCCTGTTGACGGAGATCGCTCATAAGTGGGTAGTATTTGATTAATTTCTCGATAAGTTTATGTGATGTGATGGAGCTGCATGATTGATACGGGGCCGAGGGAGGTATCAGGACTAATGATTGGCTGAATCCTTGTCCCTGACTCGAAAGGTCACTGATGCCCGGGACAGCAATAGTGGAGACTGATGCTTCAATCCAATTATAAGACAACAAATGTTCGACCTCGCAGATTGATACTGCGGTAGTTTCAAGCTCGTGGAACTCCGGACAGGTGAGCTCTGCGATCTTTGTTATATCCATCATAATTGGGACTGCGGCGACAATAATGTATACAACAGCAGTTGTCAATCAAATAAGTATGTTCCGCCGAACGTCGTAAGTGTCTTGGATCTACCTAAATAGCCAAACTCCCCTTAAAATTTGCCCCTCCTCGTATTGGGATTCTTCAGCCCGATTAAAATGCCCAACGTGTAACATTAAGATTCTGGTTCGTGATTTTAATTCGTCCCTATTATGTCTAGATAAAACGCACAAGCGCTTAGACCCCTTAGAAAGTACGAAAGAGGGCTACTGCATTGTCGATTGGATATCAACCCACATTTATTGGGGTGACAGCGGGGTAGCTTTCCGGCGCAGATCAACCACCCTACACGCATGATTATGAATCGTAGAAGCGTTTGGTAATATTTCAGATATGTTGAGAGGAGCAAGTCAAGCTACCCCGCATCTCTAAAGGAGAGCCCAAGATACAAGAAACACGCCTCTTCCTAACTTTCACTGACAATTGCCTCGCAGTGAAGATAACGCTTTTGAAGAAGCCAACGAATTAGAGTGTGAGCCTAATACCTATATTATCATTTCTTTCTCATTTATGAAGTCAAGTATCAATAGCTAAACCGAAATTCGTCTTACCCCAGCCTCCCTGCTAGTAAACCATGCCTTCATTGGAAGATGTAGTGAAGACATTCCCACCACGAGGAAATATGCAGCAGCACAGGCTATCGAAAGCCACGAACTTCTATTGCACTCGATGCAACTGTACGAAGACTGCCAAGCTGGTGACTACCATCGATGGGAAATGGGACAAACTATATTGCAATGCATGTTATGGCAACAATTTAGCAACAACAGAAACAGCGGGCTAAAGAGTGGCTTTTGGTAGACATTCCACCTGGTTGCTATCTACAGGATAATACTAATACTACTACTCTACAAAAGGCTATGCACAATCAAATTGGGATATGGAAATCTTGTTCGATAGTGTTATCCATGCAGGGTTCTGCTTATAGCCATCAATGACGTTGCTATACCCTGCAGAAGGGGTGCAGTCTTATATCATTAGCTTGGTGTTATAATATACGACAATATGACTGAAAATGAACGGTCCGTAGAGACAAGTGAACGCCGCTCGCAGATATTTCTTAATATCTTTCGAGCCCTCCCTCTCCAAAGCCATAGTTACATGTATGCCATAATGAAGATAACGGTACATAAGTGGCGTGCTGATTACACCAGCAAGGGTATAGAAGGCCAACGATTATCTTTGTCATCTCTCAATCGAGACACCTCGAATCACTCTCTGCTCTTCTGGAACGCCGTTTTCGACCAAGAATTCGATGGCTTTATCAAGGGTTGAGAAGCTTTGGTGTTTAGCTTCTGGATAGCCGTTGACTAAAGACTTCGTCTCATCCCTAAGTTATGTCGTCAGCGGTGATAAATGCTTTAGTTGGACCAGATTCTCTCCAGCCGTGGTATACCACTTACCAGGACAAAAGAATGCCTGGGGCAGGAGGGCGACCCTGAGCAACAGCATAGTATCTTCGTGATGGCATGGGTAAAATTAAGTTCGGCACAGAATCTCCTGGTCTTAAGGCGAAACTAGATCGACCGAGCGATCGAAAGGATATAGAGGTTTTTAAACCTTTGGATACATAGGAAGGAATATCTCAAAATGTACCATTGGGAGACAAGGTGGGTAGGATGTAGCGTGGCACACAAGGTTTGATTTTAGGCTATTAAATTCTAGGATCCGAAAAGTGTCTATCTGTGCGGCCAATGGCCAAGTTACACATCAGAGGCCTTGTGACTCCTTTGGACAAACAACCGTGCGCTCACTCAGCTCCGGGCATGAGGGGCATGTGACACATTATTCAAACCAATTCCCTGACATAGTTGTGTTCTTTATGACCTTAGCATACATCGTTTCTCAGCGACTTCAGTCTGCCTTTTCCGACGTTCGTGCAAGTCACACCATCAAGATTTAACGCCACGAGCTCAATGGCCGACATATCTGGAGCAAGTGCGACAGAGTTTGCGAAATCGTACGTGAAATCCTAATCTTGAAAATGACGTGTCCAAAGGTTTTCTTTTCCAGAGTACTTTCACTATATCACGGACCCTGCGTCAAGATTCGAGTTAACCCTGACAACAATGAATACATGGTTTTGAAACATCTTCTCTGCAGAGATTCCAAATTTTTCTCAGCAATGTTCACAGGCGAATTCAAGGAGGGACAAGAGCAGATAGCCGTCTTGGAAGAGATTGAAGGTATCGTTTCGGCGCAAAGTCTCGAAGCCCTCTTGCAATGGATATACATCCGCCGGGTAAAATACAATGTGGAAGAGCCGGAAGACCAAATTTCAGCTGCAATAGAACTTGCAAGATTCGCCGATATGTGCACCGTCACCAGTTTAGAATCTGAAATAGCCCGACAGATCAAGGAAATCCTTAAAGACCACTCGGTGCCCGAGCGTGCCAGGGAATATAACAATAGAAACACCTATTTTCTCACAAGTGAGCATGTCAGATCGGCAATCTTCTTGCCTAAAGGGCATGCGGTGCGTCAGGTTCTAGCTGCAGCCTCGGTTGTGGGATATCTTCGAGACGAAAACCACAAATTTAAGGAGGAGGTCCAGGTATATCCCCTATTTGGAGCTGATGTCCTTGAACAAGTGAGAAAAGCACTGAATACGCTCAACGTTACTCACCGCGAGGCTACCTTTAAAGACCCTATAAGCGGAAAAACGTCAACGATCAATAATACTTATTATTGATTTATGTAAAATCATGAACCTTTTGCCTGGTGGAGGGGCCCAACAGGATGCCATAACTTGGTGAATTTCCCCCAAATTATGAGAATCGGGCTCAAGCCGCTGTTGCAGGGGCCAGGCTCGGGGAGGGGGGTCAACTTATTTATTGTTGATGTTAACGGGGAGGATAGGTTAAATCAGCTTATTTTGGCGCTTTGCGGGTTTCAGGGAGGGGTACGGTCTCATGAAGATTATGATAGTTAGCAGGAGAAGTTAAATTGGATATTCATATGATTCAGCTTCATGGTCGTGATCAATGGCCAGAAGAGAGCCTGCAGTCCTCGGGCTATTAAGGCTATATGCCGTTAATGGAGCTCATCCAGGCAACTCCGCGAAAGGAGCTATTTCTGTCTTTTCTGCCTCTAGCAGAATATTGTCGATATCAGGTTCGGAGAAGTTATCGCTACCTGATACAACCTCGGCAGCCGATGCCATTTTGTGTGCCATAGCGTTAACACAATCTGCAAGTCTTGCACCAGCCTCCCTAAAAGAGTTGTCTACTTCTGCTTTAGCATCCTGCATTGCCGTTTGCTTGAGTCGGGCCTGCTCTGTCGAGATTTGTTCAAGTCGTGTCTGCAACTTGTCCGATAAGGCATGTTTCCGTGACCAAGTTTCCTTAATGATGGCTTGGAAGTCCGACTGGAGACTCTGAATATGTTGGACAACTGTTGTATCCCGATGCATCTTAGCCAGACCTATCCCAGCTTCCAGACTCCGGAAGATCGATTCAACGTCCTGTGGTCGGCGAAGAACTGCAGAGTGACGAATGTTGGCACAGGTATTGAGGATATCTCTTATTTTTTCTTCATGAACCGCTGCTAATAGTGATGATAAATCGTCCGGACAATTTAAGATAACGCGGCACCAGGAATGCAACTCTAGTGACTTCGGCTCAATCCAGCCATGCTTCTCTAGAAGTGGTTGACATTGATAATGTTTGGCCCCAAAGTTTTCGCACATTTCTTCTAGGATGCACTGCAGATAGGATAGCAATAAATGTTGGTCTTTGAGTGGAAGACTGATGGAGTCTGTTAACAATCTGTTAGAGATTGCAATTTAGCCAGCTTCACTTTCAAAGATTTGTGTTTCATACCCTGATGAACTCTCTCTTGTAAGTTCCGATGACCGCGCTTTTATGCTACCTCGTTTGCGTCCGTGACGCGCCCTGGTCCCTTTTTTGCTGTTTTTCTTTGTCATATTGTGTTATGTTCATCAAAGGAACTGATCAGGATTTTCATATAATTTAAAAAACCAAAGCAAAGTTATCAGGGAAAATTAGTCCTGCAAAACGCGTCTGGTCATGTCAGACCTACCTGGGAAATCGCGTTACGCGGGAAATGGATAGCTCGCGCTTTCAGCGGCAAGAATGAACCCCAGCTGATCCGGAAAGAGGGGCCGAGAATGGGGATTCAAACATACAGACGGAAGTTAGAGATGCCAAGAATATGTTGCCGAATTTTCCCCCTCCCATTCAACCAATGGAAGGAACCCGAGTCGATCCAGCGGCGGTTGTGGCAAGGTATGATGCGGGGAGGCTAGGAGAGTATACGGTGGAACGGCCGAAGTTACCTGGGGTGGGGGCGCACCGAGAATCGTCGTCCCGTGATTCTCCGGGCTGTGAGGTATCATAGATAAAGAGGTTATCCGTCATCGCCAAGGGATGCAGGAACTACAACCTAACTTCGACAAGTATGAGACATCAGTATTGAACATATTAATGCCTAGCAAGGCGTCCAATAACCCAAGGCTAGCATCATCGTAAGCGAGGGAGAGTTTGCGAAGCTAAGGGAAGATACCACGGATTGTGCTGTACCTGGCGGTGGGTGGGCGGAACGCCACAGATAATCCGTAAGCGCGGACATGTGGGCGCCAAGGTGCTTACACTCTTTGTCGAACGAGACAGGGGAAGGAAATACAATTAAATCCAAGAGCTTCAGGTACAGGCAAAGGAACACAATATTCTGGAAGTTTCCTAATACAGTCATCATATACTCCAGCGACCGGCGAGAGCCAAAAACAAGATCAGACTACAACTGGTAGGATATGCACAACAGAAGCGATATTAGTGCGACAAAAAAGGCGCCAACTGTCCATGCTGTATCCCAACCGAAAAGGAACCTAGCAGCAACAACCACGCCTAGTAATATAGCGACTAACAAAGGCAAAGTTATATGATGCTTATCTAGCGCCCAACCTTCACTGACTACTATACCCCTGAATTCGATCTCTCTCAAAGCTGGACAGTGCCAACTGTTCCAAGTCTCCGTTAGGCCTAGGACATCCCTATCATAGTTAAATTAGAATTTGCGTCACTTAAGATGGTTTATAGTTATTGCTCTGTATCACTCACCGGTGGCTGTACAGAAGATTTTCTTTTTTGAGGAAGTCATTCAAAGCAGCGAGGTCGGGGTTAGAGAAGGCGTGTTTCATCAGGTGGAGTGTGTCCAAGTGTACAATGTTCCGTCTAGCAGTACAATATTTTTCTTCTGGGCATTCCCCAGCATTATTGACGTACGGCAAGCAAGAAAAACAATTGCAACCATAGCCGCATTCCACAGTTCCCGTGCGACGATCGTAAAAACAGTCCGATATGGGAACACAGTTGTCTATAGTCTGTTGTAATATATTCCTCTCAGTTGGAATGTCGCGTCCCGTATACATCCCAATATATTCGCAATTTTCCCGGCCCTTCGAGGCCTTCTTCGATCCCAGAAGTGAGATCTTAGTGTGGTAATCAGCGATCCTTCTCAGAATGATAAAATTTCAAAACAAACCTTGACAGCGTCAACTCGTGTGACATTATATCCTGGCAGACGTTTCCTCCAATATCCTCTGCGCGCGTACCAAGCTCTGTGTATCTCTCTCCATGTTTCCACATCATCTTCCGAGTTTGCAATTGGTACAGGCAATATTGAGCAATGGGAGCTTTCGCCCCAGCACAATAGAACCATAGGAGATCCATTTTCTGGGGACATTGAGCCTAACACCCTTTTCAGGGCTCCTACCCGTATATCATGTCTCTTCTCCAGTGTATCATGTTTCTTCTTCCGTCTACCAAAAGTGGGCAGAGTTGATCCACATGAGCCTGCGTTGTCTTCTTCTCCATGTTTCTCGCGTTCGTTATTACATTCATCGGCTCTAGCGGTACCAAGGCGGGCTTTGGGAAAAATGGATTCCTGAGATTCTTGAGTACGAGTGCGACTATCTCGTGGAAATTTGGACCTGCGTCTGTGAAGAATAGTATCTTTCGGGAGTGGAGATGGAACTAATCCGGGTAGAGCATTGTTCGTGATCGGTAAGGATGGCTGATCTTGGAAAAGAAAGGAAAAAAATTTAGTAACGAGTTGTAGTCTAATGTCAATGTGCTGTCTCTGTGTAGGAGGGAGATCTGAGGTAAAGTTATATGCTTGATCGTTGTCATTCGTAGTTTTCCGTGCTAGTAATTTGACTTTTGGGGGAACTTGAATATAGTCCATTGTTCTTGATGAGGGGGATTCGTAAGGACTCTAGATTGAATATAAATGTCAAGAATTATCAGCCTCGTCAAGCCTTGAGGCTGTGTCACCAGTGATTATTTCGTTGCAATATTTGATTGGTTCGTGTATTTGCAATAATGCAGTCATGTTATTGTCTGCCTTGGGCTCATTGCATAATTAGGCTGGAGAATTATTGTTGGCAACTCAACAGCTTTAACACGAACTACTGGTGCAAAAGGGAGTGATGTAATAATTTCCCATGGGATTCAACGGTTGGCAGGCGCCGCGAGAGGAAATGTCAGCTTTGCATGGGTCAAAGGTAGATGGCCACGTAACAAGGTGCGGGGTTACCAATCACTGGTCTCCTCCTTTCCTCTTTGGGGAGTATACAAAGATACCAAGTAAAGCAGCCATACGAATTCCAAAGCCACCCTCCAGCTTACCTCGTTATCACAATGGAGAGGCAGAACAAAAATCTCAAGCTGTATTTAAGTGGGTCCTATGTCCCTACTGAGTAAACACTCGCTCTAAGCCCCACAACCGATTCCCCCTACTGTACTTATGAAGAAATGGAGGATGCTTTCTCTCGTTTTCCAGGCTTCCAGCCTAACCCGTCTCTCTCTGCAACTGAGGAATTTTCTCGTCTAGCACATCATATGAATTGGACTACTGGCTCCAAAAAGTACAGAAAAGAAAGGGTCAAATTCGCAAGCACTGAGTTTGAACGTTATTATCATATTGGCAATAAACTTCAAAACTACCGAGCTCTTTGTCAGGAGTTGCGGGTCGAGGGGCCTCTAACTAGCGTCACACAGTGTCGAAAGGTATGTTTCTCCTCATCTCAAATTATAAACTACCCAAACATATGGAACTGAATAATAAAGGCTCTTGCTAAAGTGCATGTCAACATATTTGATCTGATCGATTCTCGCCGCACAGGAGCGGCGGTTCAAAGGTTTCCTAACCAAGCTGCGCTCAGGAAGTACACCAAAGACACCGAAAAGATATTCCCAAAGCAAGCGGCCAAAGCAGACGGCTTTCTCAAGGAACTACTGCGCAGGATCTTGTGATCGTGATTCTTTGAACGTGATAATAGGGGAACCTTACTTCCTGGCTAGAAGCTTATGGCTGGATTGTACTTCAGATTCCAGAATGTTCCCTCATTTGTGCTCTCTCATTCATATGATGTGCTAGACGAGAATACTCATTAGTTGCAGAGAATGGATTAACTTGGAGCCTACTGTCTTCTCATAGTTCGACTCTTAGATGGAGTACCAACTACTACAGTCGATGAAAAACTCAACCTTTGATTTCGAACCTAAAGTCAGATTATTGTGTCACCATCGTACATGCCTACACAGAAAATAGGCTTTTATGCCGTGTCCCTTATTATTCATTTTATCATCACAGAGACGGGCCCCTGGAGGCCTGGCCAACCTTACCATCCATCACAGAATTTATTACCACCGCTGGAAACGACAACAGTTATCTGCATAAATCCAAATGGCCACGGCAGCGGGAAGTTTTCGCCATCAGGATTATACGGTCGCATGGATCTGTGCCCTTCCCTTGGAGATGGCCGCGGCTGCGGCCATGCTGGACGAGAGACACTACGATTTACCCGCGAGGCCGAACGATGGTAACACATACATTCTAGGTCGGATATACGGCCATAATGTGGCTATTGCTTGCCTTCCATCGGGTGTTTACGGTACAACCTCCGCCGCAACAGTGGCTACACAAATGCAGTCCACTTTCGAATCGATACGCTTCGGCCTCATGATAGGTATCGGAGGGGGGGTCCCAACCGGAAAGGTTGATATTCGGCTGGGTGATGTGGTGGTTAGCAAGCCGACAAGGGACTCAGGAGGGGTCATACAGTACGATTATGGGAAAACAGTGACTGGTGGCCGCTTTGAACGGACTGGCGTACTGAATAAGCCACCACCAGTGCTCTTAACAGCGGTCTCGAGACTACAAGCAGAGCATGAGTTGGGACCAAGCAGAATTCCTGCTCTTCTTTCAGAGGCGGTAGACAGGAACCCCAGGATGAGGGAGAAGTTCGCATATCGCGGTGATGATCAGGATCAATTGTTTGATTCTGAATATGATCATACCAACTTTAGGAGATACTTGCAACAACTGTGATGCAGGGAGACTCGTAACACGACCTACTCGAGCTAGCCATGATCCGGTTATCCATTACGGTCTGATTGCCTCTGGCAACCAAGTGGTGAAGCACGGCCACAGCAGAGATAAGCTGGCCCGGGAGCTTGACATCCTCTGCTTTGAAATGGAGGCGGCTGGCTTGATGGACAACTTCCCTTGCCTCGTGATTCGAGGGATCTGCGACTATTCCGACTCACATAAAAACAAGCAGTGGCAAGAATACGCAGCAGCGGCGGCAGCTGGTTATGGCAAAGAGCTTCTCTCCGTAGTCCATGCAAGCCACGTGGTGGACACTCTACCAGCAGGCTCAATTTCCGACGGTATGTTGTTTGCTCGAGTTACATAACGAGTCATGTTTATCTAACAAACTCTAGTGTCCTACTGCAGAGAAAAGCCACCATCTATGAAGCTTCCCAATAGTGAAATAGTTCGAAATTGTGAGTGTGTTAATAGTTTTCAGGGAGCGCCAACTGATGAGTTGTAGATGGCCAAGAAGGTGCGGGACTACTCGAGCGGATTTCAAATTATGAGCACGAGAGAATCCATCAAAGACTCACTAGGAAACGACTGACCGGCACCACACACTGGTTCCTTGATCACCCGGATTTCAAAGCGTGGTTCACTGAGAAGAGAGTTTCCAGTTTGTGGTGCTCGGGGAAGAGTAAGCCTGCTTTCCATATACATGCCTTGAATAAAATACTGATGTGCAACTGTTCGTTAGTTGGCTCGGGCAAAACGATGATAGCGTTTGTCTCCCGGTACTTTTGCTTTCGATATGATATATGATCTAACAATCAATAGAACCGCAGCGATAGACGCAGCGAAATATGAGCTCGGCTGTCCCACTGTTGCTCAGCATCTTGTATGGGACAATATTCCGAAATCAGCCATCGTTTGTTCTTTCAAAGTTAACACCTTTCTGAAACTCACTCGCATTGAACCATGCAACAGGTGCAAATATCGGAAAGTTTCTCTTCAAACTCGAGGTGTCCTACGAGAGTTGCCAAAATATCAGCCAAGGAATGTACAAATCTTGGTGGATGAAGAAAAGAGGAGGATCCTAGGAAGATTTCTACGCCGGTGTTGAAGATAGATACTACTCATTGAATTCACGCCTGGATCCTCCAACAATGCTCCACACTGCAGATAAAGATGAAGATGAAGAAATCTCGATGATGTGTCTGTTTACTTTGTGATGTTTCGGTTTGGTATGGTTGGGCCAAGGATCAACTGGGTAATTAGGAAATTTCTTTCTCCAGACAATCTGTCCATAATTCTGAGCATTGGTAATATACACTGCCTTCCAGTTTCGCTAATAAAATTTTGGGGGGGGGCTCGGGTCTCTCGTTTTCAACACTCCATAAAAAAATAACTCTATCCATGCTGACCGAGCGGTCAGCTCTCCTGATACTGGGACCAGGAAATATTTCTATAAAATCTAAAATCCCTTCAATATCTTGTATTTGATTTTTATAAGTCAGAAAGCGGCTGTTTAAACTAAATAACAATTGTTCGAACTGAAAAACTTGGATCACCTTACAACGAATTAGAACCTCATCGACCCGTACCCAATAACCTATTTCCCGGGCGAGCGGCGCACCTGTATCCCATATTAAATAGCACTTTATAGTAGTGGATTGTGTTGATGATGACTAAATGGAAACAATTTCATAATGTACCCCTTCCATATTCTGATTGCAGGATGGATCAGAAAGGCTGTACAGCTAAAATTACGGTCAAGTTGTCTAGGCGACCGAATTCGCCAAAATTATCCAAGCAATGGGATGAGAGAATAGTTGTAGCAAATCATAGTCAACCCCATAGTAGTGGGCACTGAGAAGACCTCCTTTCTCAACGACACTTGAAATAAATGAGCATTTGTGTTGGTTCTTCATAACTGTGGCTTTCATTCAGGACGCGCGTACTACGACTTTGGGTTTTGGACCAAAATACCTAGTCTGGGATCAACACGGGGGTTGTGTTCCCTTCATTCTTTTGCAGAGAAATGATTGTCAGGAATGCAGCTCCCTCGATGGCTGACAGTGTAATAACTCTGGCGCTAGTATAAAGAACCAAAGGAAACCAGAGATCTCTGTCCATTATACCATTATTCTTGACATTTCTCTTCGGGGCACATCATGACTATACATGCTATTAAAGACGACCAGGCGCTTGCAGACCCACATTTGCTAGAGAAAATCGACAAACTCTTCGCATGCAATGTGGGCGACTATATCAATCTTCCTCAGCTGGTTGTGGTCGGAGATCAATCGAGTGGCAAGAGCTCAGTTCTTGAAGGGCTTACTAGGCTGGCTTTCCCCCGAGATAGCGGTCTGTGTACACGATTTGCCACGCAAATTATATTTCGTCGGACCGAGGACGATGAAAGAAGAATTACCGCATCCATCATTCCTGGATCCGATGTGGAAAGTACACATGCGTCCCAGTTGAAAAACTGGAAGGCAGATAATATACAGTTCCTGACTGTAGAATCATTCTCAAGGACTATGGCAGAAGTAGGTTAGCACTTTGACGGGAAATGCCTATCTAATACCGACTCTTAGGTTCACACGGTGATGGGGCTCTCGATATCGAAAGACGACGGTTTGCCTACCTTCTCAAGTAGCGTCTTGAGACTGGAGATTTGCGGTCCAAAGGAGGATCATCTCAGTGTGATCGATGTGCCTGGTATCTTCCGGAACACGACACCGGGATTGACGACAAGAAATGACAAGGTTTTGGTCCGAGACATGGTTCAGGGATATATGAGGAACCCTCGGTCGATAATGCTCACAGTTGTACCAGCAAATGTTGATATTGCGACTCAAGAAATTGTTGAAATGGCTCGTGAGTTTGATCCGGATGGTGATAGGACACTTGGCGTTATCACCAAGCCAGATCTAGTCGACAAAGGCGGAGAGGGTAAAGTCATTGACCTTGTTGAGGGAAGAGAGATGCAGATGAAGCTGGGATGGATTATCGTAAGAAACCTAGGACAAAAGGAGCTCGAAGAAGGCGATGTGGATCGGAATGTATTGGAAGCGGAGCTTCTTTCCCGACGCCCCTGGGATACCGTCCCGCGAGACAAGTTTGGTATCAAGGCGTTGCGTACTCACCTTCAAGAGACAGTAACTGCAAACGCACGACGATCTTTTCCATCTGTCAGTACATCCGGAGCCATTGCTATCATTCTACAGCTGACAAATGGATATTAGGTACGATCTGAGATAAGCAAGAAACTACGAGAATGTCAAGATGCCCTGCAGGCTCTTGGAGCAGATCGAGAAACCCCGGAGCAGCAAGCCAGTTTCCTTTTTGGAATAGTATCATCGTTCCAGGAAATCACATCTCATGCGCTCGGCTCAAATTATAGCTTCCGGGATGATTTTGATCAAGAGGAGGTTCTTCGTCTGGCCACCAGAGTTGTCAATAGGAATGAGATGTTCTCCGACAACATGGCTCGATGGGGCCACGAGTATGAATTTGAGACCGATGAGTCGCAGGAATTGGACGATCTTAGAGTTGATATCTCCATCGATAATCCCACAGGAGGCTCTTTGGCAACACGAATGCTTGAGGATATATCTGGGATCGAGGACATTCTTCCGCAGGCAGTCGAAGTTGCACAGCCCGTTCGCAATGACATACGCTCATGGATAGAACGTCAATACCGAACTTCACGAGGATTCGAGATTGGAACCTTCAACTCTGCGCTTCTCCCAACGATTATGAAAAAGCAGTCAACAAAATGGACACCCATCGCGACTGGGTATATTGGTGATATTATCACCATGGTTCATGGGTTTATTCTCAGGGCTTTGAATTTAGCCTGCGCTGACACCAGGGTATGTCACAACCTGCTGTCGAGGATCATGGATAAGCTTCTAGGGAAATACCAGAACGCAATCAACCAAGTCCAATTTCTTCTGTTCAATGAGTGCTCAAACACGCCAATGACATTGAATCATTATCTGAATGACACTCTAGAGAAATGGTATCGTCGTTCCGACCCTTTATCACTAATGACATATCTAACTTCGCACAGTCGACAGAAACGCACGAGCTCCGTGATAGGGGAAAAGACGATTAGCGGCTGTTCGCACGGAAAAGTTGTGCGAGTGGAGGATCTGAGCCCCTCAAAAAATATGAGCAATACCGCACATACCGTACAAGATCTTCATGACATTCTCCAGTCCTATTATAAAGTGGCTCGGAAGCGGTTTGTTGACAATGTATGTATGCAGGCCGCAGGTTATTATTTGGTGAATGGACCAGAAACCCCGATGAGATTGTTGTCTCCTTCCTTCGTCAACAGTCTCACTGAAGACGAGCTTGAGGAGATTGCAGGAGAGGAAGCATCGCTTCAGCGAAAACGACGTCAGTTATTGAAAAAGATCAAAGATCTTCAGGTGGCAAAGAAAATCCTGCTTTGAATGATTGTCATAGAACCCAAAACTCAGTTGGTTGTACTAATTCCAGAATACTTGCAGAGAAATGCTTCATCTAAGTATATTCAAATCATATTTGAGTTTCGTTCAGAATTCATCCGATTCGTAAGATCTCGTCTTAGCATACGTGACTCCGGAACAAGTTGGCATAGTCTACCATAAAGCCATTCTTAGCTGCTAGGTCTTGATCAATCCAGTATGGTGTCAAAATCATTTAACCATTGGCTACTTTTAGTGATAGTCTTGGAATTTCGAGTAAACCCAGATATTTAGATATACGTATGCTCTCAGAAGAACAGATAGACCCTCAAACCGTAAAACGTATGACTTTTGACAAGATAGCGAGGGACTGCAGGCACCAAGGTTCGAACCCCGCCTGGAGGAAGCGATGCTAATATCTCTGGATTAGCTTGAATTCTTCTCTTGAGTTCATTCAGACATCTAACATTAAGTAACTCATCCACCGTTGCAGTTGACGAGACATGCATGAAGCTCTCGGCTTCAAGGTGCGGTCCAGATAGATCCTCTTCTAAGCAATCGAGCCTCAACAGCGTAGCTGCGATCTGGCCCACGGCGCGGTTGTCCATAGTTCTGTCGTCGGTACCTCGGCCGCGGACCATGCCATCTCCAACGTCGGCTTTCCAAGCAGTTTCCAGGTTAGGTTGGGCTCATATTACATCAAAGTAGCATGACTTACTGATCTTCACTTGTCCTCTGTCTGTCAGGACAACTGTACAGCACGATAGATTGCCATGTGTGATGCCAACTTCATCATGTATGTATTTGAGCCCCTTGAGAAGCTGGTCAGATGTGAGCGTATGCTCATTATTGTAATAAGAAAGACAGGGCAAGCAGGTACATACCTCCCGGCAGATACACGCTACTGCACTTGCATCATTGAAAAATATGTTGGATGCTCGACGAATCTCCTCAAGCGAGATACCGTAGCTGTCATATGCGATGACTATCGATCTATGGCCGAGGTACGCTTCTTCCAGGTTGACTAAATTTTCGTGAGATGTTTTAACAATCTGGTCTGGACGTATCTGGAGCACTTCCACTTGATTGGCGTCCATATTTTGGTTAATCAGAGTAGCGCTAGTCCAAAATCGATATTCCGTCATTGATGAGAAGTTTCGCTGCGACTGGAAACTCGCAGGTTCCTAGCAATCGGACATGAAGTTAAAAGTGCACGTGAATAAGGCTGAAATTTTCTTGCGTGGTCTGTTCAGTAAACCGCCATGGTCAAACTAAGACCTGTTTCGAGCATACAGTTCAGCTCTTGGGGGGGGGGTGTTCACTCATGGTAACTCAAATTAAGCCCCCCCCCACAATTACCTAGACTCTACCCTCCTCAGAAGTTATCCGTCTTATGCAGGAATCAAAGTACTCTGGAGAACATATCAAAGCCCGGTCGCGGGATCAAGAAATGGAGCAATATAGCATTAGCTGCCTCAAATAATAAAACACTCTCAAACTTTCCAGGCTGTTCCAAATTCCTGCGCAAAAATTCAAACCAACAAAAACATGCGTCCATGTCAAGGATTGGTTCTCAGTCATATGACGACTGGACATCTAAGAAACAAGTACAATCTATTGCGAAGGCTCTAGATAATCGCGACGAGTAGAGTACTCTCTAATGAAACAACAACCAATCCAACGATACCTTCACCAATTAAGTTTAAGAAATAAACACGTAATTAAAATAGGCAAGGGCTTCGAGCATTAGATCAGTAGAACCCGACGCTCACGTTCGAAGGCCATGTACATCCCCAGCATGCCTTCGCAAGTGCATCTCGTGCAGGACAGACAGATCGCAAAAATTGCATTTCCTGTCCATCAAATGTGATGATTTGAAATGCCTCTTCACTCCATTATAGTCAGAGTATGCCTTGGGACATTGGAAGCATGCGAATGTTTGTTCCGCATTCGGAATATCTTTCCTGCCAGAGGTACGTTCCTTCTCCGACGACGCAGTTGGCGGCGCATCAGTCTTTATCTTTTGAGCTAGCGGAGATGGAACTACATCGTCATTGTCGGACGGTGCAGAGCGCTTCTGTCGTCCTCGGAGGGGCCCACCTTCCTGAAAACCGCAATATTGTATTCCAGCAGCAACAGCTTTATTGCGTCGTGTCCATTCGTCCTCTAATGAATCGGTGGTGGGCCAAGTGAAGAAAGTCTCCACGAGAAGAATCTGCTCCGGTGGCATTGCAAACTCTTTTCGTAATACCTCGCGCGCGGGCTCGTCACTGACAGCTCCACCAGTCAGCTGTCGTTCAATGTCAATTACTGCCTGCTTTCGACTGAAATCACGCCGTATTTCCTTCCGCCGTTTTTCCTGCAGACGCCGACGCAGATTGTGGACTTTACGCTTCTGGTCCTCCAGCATCGCTCGCAACGCTGGCTCATAAGAGCGGCTACCGCATTGAGAGTCTAGCTCGAATTGCCAGCGTATGGCCGATTGCAGTTCCGGATTCTTCTCCATCGATTCCCGATCAGCGTCGCTCAGGTGTCGTGGTCGCCGCCGATCAATCCAACGGCTCATCCGGGTCACAGCCTTTGAGAACTCCTCATCAGGATCGAGGCCGCACATGATCTCCTGTAAGCCAGTATGTCGACGGGGACGATAATGTTTAATGAACGTTCTGCTAGTGGCGTGGGCCATGATCACATTGCGTTGTGCTTCACTGACGAAACCTGGACAAAAGACTTAGTCTACCTGCCATTGAGAGAAGAGAACTTTGGGGGTTTATAGTTCACTTACCACTCTTGTCAAGCAAATCACCTCCACCGTATCGGAATTGGTGAGAGAAAAAATGATTGAGGAAGCCGTGTATCTCACTGGATGTCCTGAGCTGTGCGTCGAGTGTGCTTCCATTCATGGGCGTCTCCCACAAAATACGCGGCTGACCACAGATCACATCGACCTTCGGGAAGACATAGTAATTATCCATCTCTTTTCTTAAGGGGAGTGGCATTTCCTGTCGGCCACCCTCAACAAGTAGCCTCCGTAGGTCTTCCATCGAGGTCAAGTGAGGCGCTTCAAACGCATGGACGTAAAATAATATACTGAAGAGCAGGACGTGCGGGCTGAAGACAAGTGATACGCCGTAGACAATTTCAGGTAGCGAGAACGTGTTTCTAATTAACCAGTCAGTCCGATTGAGGCGGACAAGCCATGTGATGGGTAGGTGTATGGCACCGGGTGGCACCTACAGCTTCGACATGCCCAGGACGCTTTTCACAAACTGGGGCTCGAGTTCTATCATCGGCACCGGAGGTCCTCCGCGCGGATCTTGCTGGAGCGATAATTGTAAATGCTTGAACTGAAGATGAAGCATTGCCTGTTTTCGGTTGACGGTAAATAGCCCAATAGTATTGTATAGACACAAAATAATCCGTTGAAATCCCAGATGGAATCGCTTTTCCCGGGTCTGAAGGATTGTCTCGTTGAATGGGACCATATCTTCGATGTACACTGGGACACTTGCCCGCGGTTGTTTGTTAAGGCCACGCTTGTCGACCAAGTGCCTCATGCCCTGTCCGTTCTCGTTAGAGTAAGCCTCATTGAGATGACAGGGGGATCAAAAAAACAAACCGTGCGAACCGCCTCACCCATCTCTTTGCTCATCTCATGTTTAGTAACCCGTATGTAGTAAATTCGGAAGTATTTCCAATCCGCCTCCAGGGCGCTAGCCTTTGTATAGCCTTTCTGACGGCGACCATCGGGACTATACTCCAGCTTCAGACACCAATTGAGAAATCGATGCATGTCATTTGGAGACGCCTCACGCAGTGCGTCCTCTGCATCCTCCCATTTTAGATCGGCACACCGCTCCTTTGCTTTGATTTGGCAGAACCTGAGATAAGGCATGTCGGTCAGTTGATAGTACCTTGCTGTAACCTTTCAACAAGATCCTAATTACTTACCAAGCCCAACGCTCTTTCAGTCGAAGTCTTAGCTTCTTCGTATTGTTGGATCGGCCGTAATCCTCCGGCACCTGAGCCAGGTCCTCATCCGTGTCATCATCTGGAAGTTGGTATAGGGCCTGGTGGACACGTTCCACATTCGATGTGTCTAATTGTGCCGGTTTTGTCTCAGTACTTGGACTTGAATTCTTCCCAGCAATATTTCGACCAGCTGCAGGGGAACGCTCCGGCTCGGTAAGACCGGTCTCAGAGGAGTCGGGTTCGAACGGTCTGTCACTGTCGGTATCGATGGGAGAGGTACAAGAGGAATCGCTTGTGATTTGGTGGTTGCTGACATTGGGCCTCCGACGACGATGCATGGTCAGGAGATTATGCCGACCGTGGAAAGGAACTGCCGAAGGACTTGAGACGCTTTAATGCACGACTGAATAGAAAGCACGGAGGCACAAGGAGAGGGAGAGCTCCGGGATGGTGGTTGAGTCGGAAAGAGGAGAGAATGTCGGATGGAAGACGGTTGGGGAGAGGATATTTATAGCCATGACGGCTGGGTACTGGCCAGAGTGCAGCGGGCGGGATGAAGGAGGCCATTTTCGGCGCCCTCGTAGGGGTGTAATGAGCGACGGTGAAGCGATGAATGAGCCCTCAGGAAGCCAAGATGTAAGCGCCCACACGATGGCAGCCTGAGGCAGAAGCGGTGAGTGAGCTGGTGCGTGGTCGAAGGAGACGGGAGCGTGGCGGAGGGATGTTGCTGAAAGGCGGCCATTTTCGGCGGCACCTGCCGCCGAAAATGGCAGCGAAATAGCAAACCGCAATTCTTAGGCCGAAGATTTTTGAAAATATCATTCTGTAATTGACGTTTTTATAAAGCAAGAAATTAATGTTTTGTTTTTGTATCAATCAAAGAATTATAACATTTAATTAATTAAAAATGTTATTTCTCCGTTTGCAAAGAATTATCGCCCGATGATTGAACAAAAATTAGATGTTATTTGAAAATATATTCAGAAATAGTTTAACAAAAATTTTATTCATCCAAGTTCTTTACAGATTACAATATCTATCTTTATTGTGTTTAAACAATGAATTACACATTTATGTCGATTATAAGATTTTGAACGAATTTATAATTAAAAATTCCTATTTTATTCCATTAATTAACGAAATCTTGAACCGTCTTTAAAAAGTCAAGATTTTTAATAAAGTTGATATAATTCACGCATTTAATTGTTTACGCATTAAAAAGGGCCAAAAATAGCTAACTACATTCAATATTTAATATAATTAATTCAAATATTTAATGGTGTTATTCGATTTCTGCAATATTCCAATTTTATTTTGAGATTATATTAATAATTTGTTATTTGATTATCTCAATATGTTCTGCGGAATTTATTTAGATGATGTCTTGATTTTCAATGATAGTGAAAAAGAATATACAAAATATGTTTTTAAAATTTTATGTCGCTTACAAGATCGCAATTTACAAATTAACATTGACAAATGTGACTTTGATATTTAAAAAATCAAATATTTAGATTTCATTGTGATCACAAAAAGTATTTGCATGCATTCTATTAAAATAATTGTTATTTGCGAATGATAAATTCTTTCATCGATTAAAAATGTTTTTTTTTGTTAACTTTGCGGGCTTTTATTGTCATTTTATTTGAGTTTTTTCACACCGTACAAGATCTCTCATTGATTTTATTAAAGACAATGAGACTTACAAAACCAAATTAGAAACACATTATATTTATTATTTGCTGTTTATCTAGACATCAGAATGCGATAAGGCATTTGAGGATTTAAAAAAAATCTTTCAAATAGTTTTTATGTTTGCGCATTTTGATTCTGATCTTGAGATGTGGATTGAAATTGATTTTTTCGATTATGTGATTGCTGAAATAATATTGCAAATATATAATGACGTGTTATATTTTATAATCTTTTTTTTGAAAAAGTTGATCTTTGCAAAAATTAATTATATGATTTATAATAAAAAGCTTTTTGCAATTATTTGATTTTTTAAAATTTGAAAGTCGAAATTGATTAATGCATTTTTTGAAAATTCAATTAAGATTTATACAAATTATCAGAATTTACAACATTTTATAATTACAAAACAATTGAATCGCAGACAGATTCGATAAATCGAATTTTTTTTGAATTTAATTTTAAGATTATATATTGATCCAAAAAACAAAAAAAGAAATCTAATCTTTTGACAAAACGTTTCTAAGATTTATCACAAAAAACGAATGATATCTGTGAAAAAAAACACTTTCAAATCTTATTCTTACCTCAATACTTTAAAAAAACAATTCAAAAAGATTTCTTTGCAATTATCCATAATGCGCACAAGATCTTTATTTTGATTAACAAACTTGTTAATGTCGCATCAACAGTTTTTAGCGATCTTTTAAAGATTCTTTTCACATTTGAAGATTTTAAATTCTTTTTAAAAATGTTTATTCAATTGAAAGACCAGCTCGATGATCAACAAATTGAAGATTTTGTTAAATCATTTGTTTTACAATTTTTTACAATTTTTTTTTGAATAATCTGATGAAATGTTTTTGGAAATTTTTATTGAAAAAATTTACAAAAATGATGAAATAATACAAACAAATATGAAAACTAAAGATGAAAATAAATAAAAGTTATTTTTAATTATGTTTAAACAAAGAATTCGATTTTCGATAATTAATCTTACTGTTTGAAATCATCGTGTGTGAATTGGCGAACAATTATATATTTTTGATTATTAATTGTTTTGTCATTAAATCTTTTAAATTTTACATTATGATCGATTATCAAGTTATTCAAAATCTAAAGATATATATCAAGCGATTATACATTATTATTATTGATTTCATTTGAAGAAAGACATTAATTAATATATCAATTTTTATGTTACATGCAAACGCGCAAAAGCTCGCATAGTGCAAACATAAAAACTGTTTTGTTTTTTTTTAGTGTTACAATGCAAATGATTTGATCTTTTTATGAATTTAATCGAGAATCTATCATTTTGCAATTATCGCGAACAAAAATTTCACAATGTCCTTGTTATGGTTGATTGATTGACTAAAGCTAAAATATTTGAATTATTGATTACAAAGAAAATAAATAAACTTATAAAAATTATGCATCGATGCGTTTTTTTTAAACATGGTTTTTTACATTTGATTATTTCTGATTACGATAATGTTTTTACAAGCAATCTTTGAAAACGTTATTGCACGCAATATGCGATTAAAAACAAGATTTCAATTATATATCATTTTGAGATCGATGATCAGTTCGAAACGATTATAAAAGATTTAAAAAATTATTTTTACGTTTATATTAATTTCGCATAGAATGATTGGGTCAATTTTTTTTGGATATGCAATTTGCAGTTATCCGTGGCCTCCGGGATCCTGCGGTCCACCCACCGCCTTTTCGGCAGTGGAAAAGGCGGTGGGTGGACCGCAGGATCCCGGAGGCCACGGATAATGATTACATTTCTAAAACAATTGATATGACTTTTTTTTTACAAATAACAGTTTCTATTTTTATATCGAGATTAAATTATTTGGATCTTTGTCACGTGTTGCATATTTTGAAATAAAAACAATTGATAAACTGATTTATCGCATTGAAAATATTCGAGAATTCTTTTGCAACAAGATTATTTGAATTCAAAAATTCTACATTTGATATATCGATGTTCATCGTCAGTTTCATTCAGTCTATCAAATAAGCGATTATATTTATGTGAATGCTCACAATTTTTGTTTATAGTATGAAAGCCAATTTCTTGCATGTAAAGTATTCAATCTATAATCAATTATTCGAAATATTGACAACAAAATATATAAATTGATTTTATTTGATTATATATTGATCGCCGGGATCATATCCGTGTTTTATTTATTTTTATTATATTTTGTTTCTTCAGCTGACACGACTTATCCGAATCAATATGAAGATCTTCAAGAACCTATTGTAATGATGAACATAGATATTAATAAAAAACATTCGAAATGGATCGTTAATGAAATTATTGATTGTCGAAAGACATTGCAGAACGTGTAATATAAAATTTTATTCGAAAACGACTAAAAAGATTGAAATTCAAATTTTCCGTGGCAATTTTGACGAGACTTTAAAAATTTTGTGAATCTTATTTTGGATTTTCACATTTATTATTCTGATAAATTGCTGTTGTTGTCGTATGTTCTTGATCTTTTTGTTTTTACGGTTTTTTCAACTGGCTAGTTTTTTTATTTATTTTAGACGTTTTTTTATTATTTTGTATTCGCATTCGAGAGATATCATGTCTTCAATTAGAAGAAATAATGTCAGAAACCTTCCGGCATGTTCTTATGGATTTGCCGGTAGGATCCCTCCATATGGAACTTCCCGTCAGGAATCTCCCGATTCCTGGCAGTCATGTTGGTAGTAGGCAGTATCATAAATAGGGGCTTCTGCCCACACCCAGCTGCTGCATCCCATGCAGCTTATTCTTTGCTAATACATACCTACGTTCAATGGTTTATGTTCCTTACAAAAAATGTATCAAACATGTGAAACAACAAAAAATTATTAATGATTTTAAACAAATCTAAATTCATGCGACAATTTTAAATAACAAAACATTTAAAAATATAATTTTTACTATTTTAAAAATAAAATTATTTTTATATCTGATTTGTTTACAAATACAATAAATTATCAAAAAATAGCAATTTAAATACAAATTAAATCGTTTATAATATGTTTTAAAAACTTCATTAAACGGAAAAATGTGAAAAAAATAAAACAATTTAAATAATCTTTTATAAAAGCATTAAAATAAAAAAAAAGATTTTTTTTGAATCAAAAACTATATTTGTAAGACCCTCACGATATGTATCTAGCTACAAAACCATTTGCGGATGATTCAATTGCGGGTTGAATCATCACACAGATAAAACCTATCTTCGCAAAAAGATCACGTTAACTTTTTTAGTATTAATCTACAATATTGATTTTATTCTAGAAATCTTATTCCTCGCGACATCATATTTTAACTATTGTTATCTTTTATATTTATTGTAAACATTTCAAAAATCCAAAATCTTTATAATTTTAACGCTTAATTACGCAACATATTCGCTAAAAATAATAAAATCAACAAGAATGACATATCAATAAATTGAATTTCGCAACGACTTGTTTTTGAATTTTTATTTTTTTCATAAAATAAAAAATAATTAATTTTTAAAAACCTTAACGAAAAAATTCATCATTCGCAATTATTAATTCTAATTATTGATGTTGAAATTCCGCTTATAAATTATAACAATCAAAAAATAATAAATTATGCGAATTTATTCTTAAAAAAATTTCGCGAAAAAACAAAAACAATCGAGATTATTTATAAACAAATTGAATATATTGAAATTATTAAACAAAATATTAAATTAATTTTGTGAAAACATGCACGTGCAGATTTTCAAAATTATATGATATTTTTTTTAAAATTATATTTTTTTGCAATTATTTTTACGAGAAGAACAATATCGAATCTTTACATATAAGAATTATTGTGAATTTATATAAAAAATTTGACAATTTGAAAAAATCAATCAATTTATGAAAAAAAATTATTTGAATTTCATGATGATATATTTGGATTCAATTTTATAAGATTTATAAAAACTTGAAAAAAAAATTAATTTTTCACAAAATTGAAAAAATCTTTGTCAATTTTTATTAAAACAGTTAAAAAATTCTGCAAATAGATATCATATGATTTAAATAAAAATTCTTTATATGTGATTGCATAATGAAAAAAAAATTCATATATTTAAATGAATAATGCGAATAATGAAATAAATTGAAAACAAAAAGAGTTTTTGTAAAAAACATCTTGTTATAATTATTTTATAAATCTCTTTTATTTACAATTCAACAAAAAATTCGCAAACAAAATTAATTTTTAAATATATTTGTAAAATTAATATCTTTTATCATGAAATTTTGATCGAGTTTGTCAATGACAAACGCGCAAATAATTTAAAATAAAAAAGGTTTCGCGGAAAACAGAAATAAATAACACAACAATATTTTGTAAATAATACAAATTTATGAAAATAATTCAAAAAATTTCGCGCAACAAAAAAAAATAAAAAATCTTTTACAAATAAACAATTATCAAATAAATAAATCTTTTTTGAAAGACTGTTTTCATTATAAAAAAATTAAAATATATTCACGCAAATTATTCAACACATTTTAAAAAAAAGAACATGCAAACAATCTGAAATGAAGATTTCACAATTATAATCTTTTTTAGTGAAAAAATTGCTTCAAAATAAAAATCAATTTATTATAAAACATATTTTTTTGTCAACAAAAATAATATTATTTGATGAAATAATTATAAATTATAAAACTTTAATCGACAACAAAAATCAAATAAATGTGATATTATCTTTGTTTATGAAACAAATTAGATAACGAATATTTTTGTATTAAATATTTATGCAAATAATAAATCAAAAAAATTGTAAAACAAAAAAATTGCAAAAATTACAATTGATTTTTAAAATTTGCAAAATATTTAAAAAGAATTTCAAATATTCGCGGTGATATTTCCAAATATAAAACAAATATTGTTAAAAATGTTTTAAATAAAGATTTACAATTGAAAAATACAATAAACAATTAAAAGATGCATTTTTCACAAAAAATTGATTAAAGTTAACAAAGTTTTTGCGAAAGATTTTATAGAAACAATATATAAAAATTCAAATTAATTATTTTAAATTAATATAATTATCGCAAAAAAAACATTGAAAAAGATCTATTTGAATGATGTGAAAAATTTGTCAATATCTTTTTAAAAAAAAAATCTTAAAAATTTTCGTTTCATCGCGAAAAGATAAATTTCAAAATTGATTTTGTAAAAAAAAAAACTTTTCTTTAAATTATTTTATTATCATTTTTCACAGAAAATGACAATAATTTATGAATATATTAAAACAATATTTATAAAAAAAATAAATTTAATTATCAAAATCTTTCGTGAATGCGTCATTGTTATGTATTTCCAAAAAAATCAAAAAATCTATGTGTGTACAAATTATCACAAATTAAATAAGATCTTGCAAAAAAATTATTATTTGTTTGTATTTATAAACAAAACTATCGCAGAATTATCAAAAACAATGATTTTCACATAATTAGATTTTCGCAACGTGTATAATCGTATTCGTATTGTGAAAAAAAATGAAAAATAGCATTTTACATAAAATATGAATTGTTTAAATATTTAATTATATTTTTTGATTTAACAAATGCTTTTGCAATATTTCAAGAATATATGAATTAAATATTTTGTAATTTGTTAAACATCACAATAATAATATATATCAATAATATTATCATCTTTTTATAAGACAAAAAAATGCATTATAAATATATTTGTGAGATGTTTGATCGTTTACACAAAACAGAATTTTATTGCAAATGAAACAAGTGCATTTTTATAATATAAAAGATCAATTTTTAAAATATATTATTATATTTAACAAGATTGAAATAAAATCTTTACAAATGATTATTATCTAAAACTAATTGATGTTAAAAACTATTCATAATGTCTTAACATTTCTAAAATTCATAAATTAATATTGCAGATTCATTTACGTTTACATGAAAATAATAATTATGTTAATAGATCTTTTTTACAAATCCAGGAATGGAACAATACAAATAATTAAAAATTGAAAAAATATTATGATTTCAAAGATTCGTGAAATCGTGAATCGATTTAAAAAAACAATTCACAAAAATAATTAAATTGAATCATTTTATAAAAGAATTAATTTTGCAAGTCAAAATAAATATTTCAAAAAATAAACTTTGCAAAATTTTAATATAATTCTATTTCAACGATCAAAATTAAAAATTAATAATCTTTACTTTACGAAAATTTACACTCGCGAAAAAGAATTATATGATGAAAGAATAAAAATTTTTCATAATAATAAAAATCTTTAAAAAATATTGTAAAAAATGCAAGTGATTATAGATCATAAAATTTTTAATATTTTTCAAATACCAATTAAAATATTTTTGTAAATGTAAATTTGTTAATTGCCAATTTTTAATTAGATTTTAATTTAAAATTATTTATCATACAAAAAAATTCAATCCTGCAAACAATTTTTGGTGAAGAATTGATTATTTGCAAAATAATTAACACGAAAAAATTCAGAAAAAATATAATAAACACATGAAATACAAATTGCTAAATTAATTAAAATTTGCGAGCGAATGTCCAATCTTGGAAAATATCATGAATGAAATCTGTATTACAAGCGTCAAAAAAACACGAAACAAAAAAAATCAATTGAAACTTATAAATAAATATTCAATTTTAGAAAATATCGCAGACAAAATCCATATTACAAATGTCAAAAAAACACAAAATAAAAAAAATTAATTGAGGCTTGTAAACGAACATTCAATTTTGAAAAAAATTGCGGATAAAATTTGAATTATAAACATTAAAAAATGCAAAATAGAAATGATTAATTGAGATTCGCGAACTATAAGGACCTTGGGTCTCTAAGGGGTTTGCGATAGGTGTGAAAGGTAATAATGACTAAGAAACAGGTGTCGCGAGATATCATTTCAAGAATAAGGTCAATATGGTAGATTAACGCTGAAGAAGCCAACGTGGTTCTTCCGCGAGGATGGGTTCTATGTGTGCGATGACTCAGCCCGCAGCTGAGTCATCCGCGAATGGTCTTGTAGCTAGATATATATCGCGAGGGTCTTACAATTGCCCTTCCCTTTTAAAGGCCTTGGTCCCTCAAGGCCAGTTCGCGAACCCCCAGTTCGCAACTGTAGGCTTCGTAGCTTTTTCTCTGCCAGCAACCCTTAAAAAACCTCTCGCGAACGCCAAAAACCCGGTGGAAAAAAATGTGCGGCCTCGCGATAGAAAAAAGATATTGTCCATAATTTTGCGATTGTTTTCCGCGATCTCCTGTGCATCAGTCGGATTCAATCTTCGCGAAGAGGTGGCCGGCGTCTCGCGATTTCGCGAGGGAGTTATATAGAAGTTTAATCTTTGATTGCTAGGCAGCGTCCGGCTCTACCCTCCTATAACACACGATGGTCTTTGGCTGCTCTGAACGTCCGATCCTTTCGCTTGCTTCTTTCTTTTCGCGGGCACCTCTCTGCTCGAGTTCCTTCGTCGCGATGCCCTAGAGTGTCGCCGAGAACCGCCCCCTTCGCGAGCATCCTCAACACGCGGTTGGCGATGCTTCACAGTGAATGACCACTGTCGATTAGTCGTCGTCGATTAGTCGTTTCTCTTGCAAAAAGCACTTTTCTTTCTCGTTCTTTCTCTTCTTCTTTTCTCTCTTCAACCATCTCCACCATCGACAAGGTAAGTATCTTCAACATCACTTTTCATCAATTCCTGTTTGTTTTCATCATTTCCGACATCAAAATATGCATTCTATGTGTCTCAGAATCATATACTGCACATGATTTTCATCTGTCTCCTCTTGTTATGTTGTTTTGCGCGTTTTTGTGATTTCAGCTTGTCTTGCTCAGCGTGGATTAGTTGTTGTGAGCTGGAGGGCTTCTCTGCGGATCATGACAACCAGCCTTTGCGGGATTTCATGTGACTTTTGTATTCGCGGGTTGTGAGCATTCGCGTGTTTTCTCTAACTGTTCGCGTGTTTTTCAGTCTTTTGTCCGTTTGTTAAGCTGTTTTGCGCCCTCTCTTCGCGACTTCGTTTTTTTTTTTTGCTCAAGCAAAAAATGTCTGCTCCGTCTTCGGTTACCGCAAGCCCGGCCGCCTTCTCCCCCATGTCGGTACTTTCGGCCCTGGGCCCGACTCTCTCTCCCTCTCCGGGGTTTTCTCTGCCCTCTGCGGAGGAGGATGGCGTAAGTGTTTCTTTCATCTGGGTTTTCGCGGGATTCTTGGCTGATCTGGCTTAGGTCTCTTCCGCGGAGGAGAATGTTCCTTCTGCCGCCGGCCCCGCCGCCCCCGCCGCCCCCGCCGCCACCGCTGCTGCCGCCCCCGCCGCACCCTCCGCCGTCGTGCCTCCCGCCCCCTGGGTCGCCGCCCCCGTCCGCTTCGTGCGGATCCGGGGTCGTCGTTTTCGTCTGAGCAACATCTCGCTTTGCCCCGCGATTCCGCGGGCGATCATCGCAGAATCTCTTCCCGCTCTTCCGGGCACTCCCAGGGAGGCTTGGGACAGACCGGTTCCATCGATTGCGACGCACGAGGAGTGGGCTTCGGCCCACTTCGTCGAACTGCCCCCCGCGGCCTGGTTTCGCCGGGCCACGCGGCGCAACCCTGTCGCGGTCTCTGGTCTCTCCTCATGGGCAGAGCGCCAGCCTCTGTCGTCCCGCGAGCGCCGCTGGATGAACGCGCCGGTTTTGCGTTCCGTACTTTGATGCGGCTTCGCAAGTCCGGATCAGTTGGTGAAGCGTGCGTAGATGCGAGAAACCTTTTTGGTCACCCGCGCTGGGCAGTAGCCTCCTGATGGACAGGAGTGTGAGTCGTGCCGCAATTCGTCTGGTTTCGTGACGTTTGCGGCGTGTATCTCTGGGGGACTGGGACAGAGATGCAACAACTGCATCTATAGCGGTCACAAGCCGTGTTCGCTCCAGCGTTAGCTGCGGCAGTTGCTCTGTTCTTATTGGACAGTACTGGACTCCTTTCTGCGGTGATCCGTGTCTCGCGCGTGAGGCGGGAACGGAGAATCATATTGGGCCTGTACCGCGAGTGTGCTTTTTGTTCCCCCTCCCGCGACGGCCATGTTTTTTCGTTTTTATTAATTCAATACTGGAGTTTTTGCCGCCGCGAAAATATTCTTTGTAGACTCGTAAATGTTGTAGATTCTCGTGAGGTTCTTCAGTGATCTCCGCGTAGCCTGTCCACTTGACTCTGACCTTCGCGGGATCCTTTATTTCTGGCCCTAGGATTTTGTTCACTCGGTATTCCGTTTCGCTCTCGTTCGCGAGGCGCGTTTTGTACCGTTCGCGAGTGTTCACACCCTCCATTTCACGGTGTTCGCGAAGCATCGATACGTGAAAAACGTTGTGTACGCGAAGGCCCGGCGGAAGGTTCACGCGATAGGCGTTCTTGCCTATTTTCTCAACTATTCTTCGCGGTCCGGTTCGCAGCTGATCTAGCTTCTTGTTTGGTCGCACTCGCGATCAGTTCGTGTTGGAAATCCACACATGATCTCCTACCGCGAACACTTTTTCAACTCGTTTTGAGTTGTAGTGTTTCGCTTGTTGGTCTTGAGCCTTCGCGATTCCCTTTTGGGCTTCTTCGCGAAGTTCTTTCATGCGCAACACGCGGGTATGCACATCTTCTTCAATCCCTTCGCGGATTAGCGAGTCGATCGCGATCGCCCTAGGATCTGTGCCGTAGACTAGCTGGAACGGGGTCCTTTTGGTAGACGCCTGTTTCGCGTTGTTGTACGCGAACTGCGCGAGAGGCAAGTAGTCTACCCAGTCATCTTGCGAGAAGTTAATATACTCTCGTAAATATTGTTCTAGTATACTATTCAACCGCTCCGTTTGCCCATCCGTTTGCGGATGGTAGGCAGTGCTCATCAAGTGTTTGATTTGCAAACAGTAGATAAAGTCTGACCAAAAGCCTTTCGCGAATATGCTTTCGCGATCGGTAACTATCGTCTCTGGCACTCCGTGAAGGCTGAAGATTTCGCGAATAAGAATATACGCGAGTTTCTCCCCCTTCAACGCCTTTCGCGTTGGAATAAACCGAGCCATCTTGCTCAAGCGGTCTACGACCACTAACACCGCATCGTACGGTTCTCGCGAGCTTTCCAAGTCCTCGCGTTTTACGCTCGCGGGGAGCCCTGTAATGAAATCCATCGTGATTTTCTGCCAAGGGTTCGCTGGAATCGGTAAAGGCTGTAGCAAGCCGTACTTCTTCCTTCTTTGTACGCGAGAGCCCTGACAGACTCCGCAGGCCCTCGTGTATTCCGCGACAAACTCGCGGAGTTTTGGCCAAAAGAACCTTCGACTCACTAGCTCGTAGGTCTTCTTTTCCGCGAAGTGCCCTGCGATGGGGTCGTCGTGCAGTTTCGCGAGAATCTCCATCTTTAATCAGTAGTGATTCGGAACGTACAGTTTCCCTTGATGGTAAAGTAGACTCCCCCGCGATTGCCATCTTCTCCATGATCGCGGGGTGCTCTTCGTCTGCGAAAAGTCCCTGTCGCGATCATCAAATTCCTTGATCGTCTTCCAGACTTGCTGTGCGAATTCATCTTTTGCAAGGAGCTTCGGAAACTCTTCCAGCAGTCTTTGCGAGGGATCGGCACGATATGGTCTTTCCTCCTCGCAAGCCTCGCGCAACTCTTCCTGCGAAAGCTCCATTTTTAGGAGACCTCTGCCTTCGACAGAGTGCACAGTTGCAAGCCATTTTTTCCCTGGCTGGGCTTCCGCGACATCGTCGCTCCTGCCTCGCGCGCAATTCGCGCTTGCAGTAATCTCCAAGACTGGGCGTTCGCTCGCAAATCCCAGTTGGTCATTCCTGCCTCGCGTCTCTTTGACGCTTGCAGTTCGGATTTCGCTCGCGATATTCTCCGAGACTGGACGCTCGCTCGCGAGCCCCAGTTGGTCTTTCCTGTCTCGCGTTTCTTTGATGCTTGCAGCACGGGCCTCGCCCGCGATATTCTCCGAGACTGGGCGCTCGCTCGCGAGCCCCAGTTGGTTTAGCAACTTGCGCTTCGCGCGTTTGCCATATTCTTCCCGGTCCTCCTCGCGTTGACTGTCCCGCAGATAGTCAATTCTTCGCGAGGGACCGTCTGCAGGGTTAAGCTTTCCTGCACGATGGGTGATTTTGAATTGGAACCCAGCTAGAAACTGCGACCAGCGAATCTACATTCGCGAAAGTACCTTGGTCGGCGTTTGGAAAGCACTGAGAGCTTCGTGATCCGTGATCATCTGCACCTCCTGCGATGCCCCTTGGAGATAGTGTCGCCACTCTCTAAAGGCTTCCACTATCGCGAGGAGCTCTTGCTCCCCCGCAATATAGTTCCTCTCCGCGGCTGTAAGCTTCCGCGAGAAAAAGGCCACCGGCCTCCAGCTTCGATCGTTGAGGTGAAGTTGCGTCAAGATCCCGCAAAGTCCATCTCCCGAAGCATCTGTCTCGACTCGCGAGACCAATTCCTCCACGAAGTGATTCAACCTAACCATCTCCGCGAATCGCTCTTTTAGCCGGTCCACGGCTTTGCGAGCCTCCGGAGTCATAATACTCCCTCGGTCCTTGACCGTTCGTATCGCCCCGCCCTCGGGTTTGCAAAGGAGATCTGTTAACGCGGCTGTTATCCTCGCGTAAGCGTAAATGAACCTGCGGTACCAGTTCGTGAATCCTAAGAATACTAAGATATCGCGAACAGTCTCTGGCATCGGCCAGTCCTGGATGGTAGCCACTCGCGAGGGCTCCATCTCAACCCCGCTAGGCGTAATGATATATCCTAGGAAGTTGATCTTCTGTGTCGCGAAGGTGCACTTGCTCCGTTTGCAGTAAAGTCCTGCCTCGCGTAAACGGCCAAACACCTCGCGAACGTGTTCACGATGCACATTCTCATCCTGTGAGAAGATGATGATATCATCGATATACACCACCACCGTGATGTCCAATAAGTCGCGAAATACCCAATTCACATATCCTTGGAATGTTGCAGGGGCATTCGTTAAGCCAAAAGGCATCACTAAGTATTCGAACAGTCCATATTTCGTGCGAAATGCTGTTTTCCATTCCTCTCCCTTCGCGATGCGAATACGGTTATACGCATCGCGAAGATCCAATTGCGTGAAAATCATTGCTCCTGACAATCTCGCGATAGTTTCATCTATGAGTGGGAGTGGATAACGATTCTTTCGCGAGATCTCATTTAGTCCGCGATAGTTCACGCACACGCGGACTCTTCCGTCTTTCTTGGGAGCACACAACAGTGGCGCACCCGCGGAGGACTTTGACGGTCGGATCTATCCTTTCGCGAGCATTGTTTGAACATACTCGCGAATCGCTGCCATCTCCCGCGGAGAATGGTGATAGAGTGGTCCAAAAAGAGAGTCCTTTCTTTCCTCGAGGTCGATTTTGAGGTCTATCCCTTCGCGATGAGGCGGAAGTTTCTGAGATTCCTCCTCTGAGAAGACATTCGCGAATCCCTCGCATCATTCAGGTAGGTCTTCCCCAGTGTTTTCTTTCTTCGCGGTGGCTGCGTTGACCCAAAATAGTCGATTTGGATCTTCGCGTATTGCTTTTATAAAGTCTTCCGCGGAGACCTCGTCGACTTCGATCGACTTTTCGTGAAAGACGCATTTTCCAGCCGCTCATCGCGTCTCTGGATCGTGGATCTTCAACCAAGGCATCTCTAGCAGCACTTGTTCCACATCTGAGAATATCACCGCGAATACTTGAAACTTTCTCCGGTTATCTTGCGAATCCTGTAAGTCAATCGTGATCTCCGCGATACCTTCATTTCGCAACTTCTCCTTATTTACCGTTCGCGTGAATATTTGGTGCGGAAGTATTCGCTATCCGGCTTGCTTCGCGAGTAAGGACGGCACCACATTTACTTGACTTCCGCTATCAATCAGGGCCTCGCGATCCATAGATATCTCACTAGGCAACGTTATCTTGGTTGGCAAGAACATGCGTTCCGCGATAAGTTGATTTTCGTCCTGAGGTAGTCTCTTCGCGGGAAGAGACGCTATAGTCGCGGGCTTCTCACTTCACGTTGTCTTCGCGCCTCCTTCCTTAGGGCGTTTCGGACAATTCACGCGAATATATCCGGCTTCTCTGCAGTGGAAACAGCCTTCGGTGGAAGGTTTACTTACCCGTTGACCCTCCACTTTTCTTATCTGATAGCTGCCTATATGCGAGAAGCCTTTTGTACTCTCCTGTTGCGTGAATCCCTTTGGGCTGCCTCCGCGAGTCTGCACCGGTCGCGGTGAATTGCTATACTGCTTGTTCCCTTGGCTCGCGGGGATTCCCTTATGTGTGATTACCCGCGGGTTTGCCGCTGACAGGCTCGGTTGGAGTCTTGCGATAAGAGATATCAATTCCGCCAGTGTATTCGGGAATTGATTTTGCTCGCGAATCTTCTGTCAAATCGCGAAAGGAAAGGATTCGTAGAATAAGCGGAATAAAATATTCTCTGCGGAGAGTCCTTCTGACCCTAGTTCGTTCCATTGCTCGCGCCATCTATTAAGGTACGCGAATTCCTCTTCTCCATCATGCGGTCGCATGCGAAGGGCCTTTGTCCATGCTACATGCTGCCTATCCGCGGGATCCCCTAACTGCCTTAGTAGGAACTGGCAAAGGCTTTCCCAATTTTGCGAAGGGTTGATTTCCTTCTCGAGTTCCCATAGGCCTTGTAGGATAGAGTCCAAATACATTATCGCGAGATTAAGATAATCTCTTTCCGTGAGCTGATTTGTCTCCCCGAATTGTTTAATCTTCCGCGTAAATTCGCAATAATTCTTATAGGTTGAGGTTCGGTACTGTTCCTCCTTGGAAGGTAGTCACGAAAGAAGAGATCGTTTCAGCGGGGGTGTCGTGTAAACCTGGGATTCTGCTCGCGCGTGTTTTCGCGAAACTGGTACGGTGCCTCGCTCAATGATTTCGATGTATTCGGCTCGCTTGCGGATAGTCTCAATTGCCTCTGCCCTCTCGCGAAGCTTATCCAGAGAGAGATTCGCGTAGTTTATCACCTCTTGGTCGTCCTGGCTCGCGGCCGGGATGCCAGCTTCGGTCGCCGACATTGATAATCGCGAATGGCCGGTCCCTTCGCTAAAATTAGGGATGATTTGGTTATCTCCCTCTTCGCGAAAATAATGAATGCCTTGCGGCGAGTTCCCGCGAGGCTCCGTGTGCTGACGTGTCATCTTTCTTGGTCCCATTATCTCTAACGGACGTATCGCGAAGTTGAGCGTTAAAATTATAAGGACCTTGGGTCTCTAAGGGGTTTGCGATAGGTGTGAAAGGTAATAATGACTAAGAAACAGGTGTCGCGAGATATCATTTCAAGAATAAGGTCAATATGGTAGATTAACGCTGAAGAAGCCAACGTGGTTCTTCCGCGAGGATGGGTTCTATGTGTGCGATGACTCAGCCCGCAGCTGAGTCATCCGCGAATGGTCTTGTAGCTAGATATATATCGCGAGGGTCTTACACGAACAAGCATTCAATTTTGAAGATTATTATAAATATAAATAATGCGTAAAATAAGAATAATAATGTTATAAAAATCTAATCAAAAAAAATAATTTGCAATTGTGCATTCTATTGAAAACAAAATTTTTTTAAAAATGAAATTTTTGCAAAAAGAATTGCACGAAATTTGCAAAGAAAAAAGATTGTATTGTGTTAATTTTTTGCAAAAATTATTAAAAAAACTTTCGAAATTTTTTACAAAAAATGAATTCGCATAACAAATTTGAAAAACAATTAAAAAATTTGATAATCGCAATAAAAATCTTTTATAAATAAAAAATATTCCGCAATCATGAAAAAGATGATAATTATAGAAATTTTTATTTTATAATTAAAAAAATTATATATTTTAAATCATTATTAATTAAAAATAAAGATCTTTATCAAATTGCACAACAATCCCATCACAGGGCATTTTGCAAAAAAAAAATTTATAAATTAATAAATTAAAGATTCTTTTGATCAAAATTTCACAAATTTATTATGAAATATATGAAAGCTTACAGAATTTGTTAAAATTTTTATATATATAAAAAAAAATACAATTTGTTATAATTGTTGTTAATTTGAACAAATCTTTAACAAAAAATCATAATAGATTTCATTACAAGATTTCCCGCGAGCGTAAAACGCGAAAATTTGAAAAATTTGTAAAAATTATATAATGCAATATTAATGATTGTAAATGATTTAAAAAAAATGGTTTAGTTTATTTCAATATAAAAGATATTAGAAAAAAATTCGCATATATTTTTCTTTGTAAAATTTTCAACCTTCATAAAATATTAAAAACGATAATTATTAATCACAAAAATATATTTATAAAAAATTTCTGATTAGGTTTTATTTATTGTTTGCGAATCAAATATTTAATAAACATTATTTATTATTTGCAAACGAATAAATAAGCAAAACGATTAAATAATATATTAAAACAATATTTATAAGAATATATTAATTTTTCGTAAAATAATTAAATAAATTATTTGTTTTTTGCACAATTGACGTACAATAACACAAAACAGACATTTATCAAAAGAATCTTATTTTAATTAATTTATAATATAAATTTTAAAACAATCACGATCGATTTAATAATTCGTGAAAAAATTGAAAAAAATATATATATTCGTGTATTGCGCATAAAAAAGTTTCGTGAAAAAATCCAAAAAAGAATCACGAAAATTCAAAATCAACAAATGAAACATTATAATTTAAAATAAATTGGAAAAATGTTCACAATAAGAAATTATATATAAATTTTTAATATAAATTAATCGCAAATACAATCAAATAAAAAACTAAATTAATTACAAATCAATTTGTGAAAAATAATTAAAAAAAGAAACAAAAACATTTATCGTGTGAATTTTTTATTAAGTTTTTATATACATAATACTTTTTATATATCGATGCTTCGCGAACATTATGAAATAAAAAATATAAATATTTATAAACGATATCAAATGCGTTTTGTGAATGAGAATAAAATGGAATATTGAATGAATAAAATTTTAAAATTAGAAATAAAAAATCTTGCGAAAATCAAAATCAAATAAACAAGTTATACAAAAATCATTAAAGAATCTTATAAAAATCTATAACATTTACAAATTTATAAAGAATATTTTTATAACAACAAAAATTTGAATATTTAATTAATAAAAATGAAAAATTGTAAATATTATAAAAAAAAACAAAAAACACATTCGCAATATAAATTTAATATAATCTTTTATTCTCATCTCACACACGAAATATAGATTATCATAAAAAAATTTAATATTATTTAATAAAAATAGAACAATTGTTGTAATTAATATTAAAACAAACACAATTTATAATTGTTATAGATACAATTATTGTATTTTTATTTTAATTTTTTAAAAATATATGTTGCAAATATTACAAAATTAAACGGATTATAATACAATTTATATTTTTATTTATCAAAAAATTATTATTTAATATGAATGATTAAAAAGATTTTTTATATTTGTACATGTTTTATTAATTGATTTGGATTTGTGAAACTATATTAAAATATAAAATATAAGATTAATGTGAATATTTGACAACATTTATAAAATAACAAAAATTGATATTTTATTTATAAAAAAAGATCAGGAACTGTAACAAAATTATATTGTGTAATTCGACAAAATCAAATTGCAAAAAACAATTTGATAAAATAAATTAAAATTTATTTTTTATATATTATAGTTAATAAAATCGATTTGTTTTAAATCTTTTTAAAAATGTTCAGAAAAACGCAAAAAGATTTTATGATAATTGCTCGTAAAATAATAAAATAAAATAAAATGTTGTTTAAATGAAAATGATAATTTTGAATTTATATGAAATGAACGGGAACAATAATTTAAAAAACGGAAAATATAATAATAAAAAATGCGATAAGAACGACAATAATAAATATAATAAATATAATAATAATAATAATAATAATAATAATAATAATAATAATAATAATAATAATAATAATAATAATAATAATAATAATAATAATAATAATAATAATAATAATAATAATAATAATAATAATAATAATAATAATAATAATAATAATAATAATAATAATAATAAAAACGGCAGAATTGACAATAAAAAAAATATTTTTTTTTGCGGAAAAGAGTTAAATCAAATCAATCAAGTATTTTGCGAAATTTAAATAAAAAGAATATTTATGTTATTTTTTTTTGCAAAAAGCAAAAAAATTTCAAAAAAAAACGATTGGATTTGTGATAATCGAAGATAGAACAAATATTTTTGTTTGAACAAAAAAAAAATAAAATTGCGAGAAAAAAAAACATAATATAATTTAATAAATGAACAAAAAATTGAAAAATATGCAAATAATTAAAAAAAACATATGAATATTTATAATTTGTAAATATAAAAATCACATAAAATCTCGCAAAAATTGATTATCATAATTTATAAAAAAATTGTTTAATCTATAATAATTAATCCACGTTAAACAAGACAAATTTAAATTATAGAAACGCGCAAAACAATATAATAAAGAAAGATGAACGAAAATTATATGCAATATATGATTTTAGAATATATAAAATGTATATTTTAATGTTGGAAGTGATAAAAACAAATAAAAATAAATAAAAAATAATATTGAAAACATTTATTTTGTCAATAATGAAAATGATTAAAAAAAAAGAAAAAATAAAAAAAAAATTTTTATAAAAAAACAGTTAATTAATAATAATTAATTGACAATAATTATTTATTGTAAAGTATTATTAATTATGTATTAAAAATATTTGCAAAAAAAATAATTTTTGACAATATTCTAAAATATCATGATAAAAAAACTTGAATGAAAAGATATTTGTGAAAAAAAAATAAATAAAAAAATTAAATATTTAAAACAATTAAAAATCATTGTGTGTTATAAAAAAATAAAATCAAACATTATTTAATAATCAAAAATTAAATTTTTATATAATTTTCTTGCAAAAAATCTTAATATCATTAAATGATCAATAATATCGCGAAACATCAATTATTTTTTTATAAAAATTAAATTCGATTGATGCACAAAAAATCGTGAAAAATAATGGTTAAATTATAAACAATATCTTTTTTTATTGCAAAATTGTATATTTTTTATCGGATTTTTGATATTCACGAAAGATTTTTTAAAAATTGTTGATAAAAAAAATTACAAAATTTATAATTGCAAATTAAAAATTTACGAATTGGTTTTGAAAAATTAAGATTTTTGAAAAAAGAAAACAATTATAAAATTTTCACAATATATATTTAATTATAAAATCATTCGTAAATAATTTAATTGTAAACTGAATCATCGCATATATAAAATTCATTTTCATGAAAAAATCACATTAATTTTTTTAATGTTAATCTACAATATTGACCTTATTTTAGAAATCTCATTTCTCACAACACCGTATCTTAACCATTGTTATCTTTCACATCTATTGCAAACACTCTAAAGGCCCAAGGTCCTTATAATATTTTGATTATATGGGAATTTTGAAAAACATATATGTTAATTTTATAAGAATTTTTTTTAAAATATATAATTAACAATGCAGATATTATAATTTAAAAACATAAAAAATATATTATAAAAATCAATAAATTTAATATTTTAACAATAACAATTATCAAGATTATATAAAAAATGTTGTCGTTTTTATATGAATGAACAAAATTTACAAAAAATATTTAAAAATCAAAACAGATTTCATAATGTATGTGAAAAAATTAATAAAAATTTATATAATTTTAAAATAAATGAATATTATTTCAATCATTATTTTCGCGAATAATTAAACAATTATTTAAATTATGCAAAATTTTGGTCGTCTGTTAAAATAATATATATTGTAAATCATTTACAAGAAAATTAAAAATTTACGCAAACAAACATTGCACAATATAAAATTATGTTAGATTTTTATATACATTAAAATTAGACTTCCGCAAAACCCAACTTGGGTCGAAGGTCTTGATCCAAAACCCAACCCAGCCTGGGTCCGGGTTGAACTTCTCTAACCCGGACCCAACCCGGACCCAATATTGGGACCCCAATAAAACCCAATATAACCCAATTTGACCCAACATTTGCATAATTTCTTATAATTTTAATCATAAAGCTGCTTAGTAATTAATATATCATATTTATGTTACGGGTCTTGACATATATGTTATGTTTGTAATCCAAGTTGGGGCCCCAGATCCAGGCTGGGTTACCCAACTTTAATCCGGACCCAACGCTGGGTCGGAGTCTTCGACTCAAAACCCAACCCAGCCCGGGTTGGGTCCGGGTTGGGTCCGGGTTATATTGGGTCGTGCGGAAGTCTAATTAAAATAAAAAGAAATGAACACGCCGATAAAATAATAAAAAAATTATAATAATTAGAATTAAATTAAATTTAACAAGATCGCGAAAAAATAGATTTTATTTAGTTATTTAATTTATAATAACAATTAAAACAAATGTTTATCGAAAAATTCAAAAATAATAAACAAAATGATAAAAATAACAACAAATTGACAAATTTATTAAATAATTAATTTTAATATCGATAAAAAAAATTTTGCAAATTTATAAAAATTTGAACAAATCTCAAACATTTATAATTATTTAAATGCGTATAATAAAATAAGATTAAAACATTTTTTTAAAATAAAACATATCGATTCCGACCGTTGTAAATATAAATAAAGATTTTAAATTTTTAAATATATTTTTATGAAATGTTCGCTGCATTTCGCCAGTCGAAAAATAATGATAAAAAAATTTTTAATTAGATTAAAAAATTGCGCGAACGTTTATAAGATTATAACACGGTTATGAATCATCCGCAAACAATACGCTACGTTGCCAGTTTTATGCAACGAACAGGTCTTTTATAACAGTTCCGCTTTGTTATTAATGACGAGGAAAAGGAGACTTTGGAATTTAACACCTTCTTGGAAGGACTCGAGCTAAGCGAGGAAGACGATGGTTAGAAAGAAACGATTAAGAGTCAGTCTGTCTTAATTGGCAGCCGCGAAGCATGCAGGAAGGCAGAGATATATATATTTAATTGCGAATGTGTAAATAGAACGGGGCAGAAGGAGAGACAGCGCCGGGAGGCGCAGTAGGCTGCGGTAGGTGTGTGGCGGCCGTTTTGGTTTAGTTGTGGTGTTTTTTGATGTTTCTACTGCGTTTGTGGGTTTATATTTGGCGTACGGGCTCGAGATTCTGCTTCATTCGGCGAAGCGCCTGCATAGTTTGTCGTTTCAATAGATAGGCTACATCAGGTTAATAGAATTTTGATTGATTGATTGATTGATTGATTGAAGATCACAATACTCACCGCTGTCCTCTCGCCATCTTCCATTCCTTCATGCAAGGGAAGTGGCGGGATCGGCGTCACCGATGTACTGCATGCAGACGCCCAGCCACATTATTGCGTATGTGGATGATTGATAGCATTGTTATCATGCGGTGGGAGTTAGGATAGGTGCTGCAGGGTCTATTCTGTTTTTCCTTTTGCTAAAGGCCCTCTTCGTTATGACTTTTGCTCTGATGGTTTAAACTGAGATCAAAAATGACTGGTTCGCATGTTCACAAGGTTCATTTACTGTCTAGTGAAATGAAATAACTGCATAGACATATTGAACACCCGGTATCACGGCTTCCTCCGGTATAAAAAGAGATGGGTCATCGACAGGGATAAATGGCAAGACAAGAGAAGCCGTAGATGCCAACGAGGCTTGTCTTTGATGGGATACATAAATCGTATGTAGGCAAGGTAGGCGCCTTGCAGAATCTCATCGCTAAGCAATGATGGTCAGCGAATGGCATAGCGATTGTGATCATCTTTTTCCGGATGGGTCAGCCGACATGTCTAATGCATCGTGTGGCCACAACATTAAATCGCTCATCTCATGCGAGGAGGCGGTAGGAAGACGTGTGCACGGGGTTGATACTACGAAAGAGAGAATTCTCAGCAGGATGAGGCATTAGTTGTCATGAATAACAACGGATCGACCCCGGAACGTGATTCTTGAGTTCGTTGGAATATATCCCTGACTAGCTCAATTGTAACTCTTCTACTCGGTCAGAGGTATTGCCTATCACCTATCTCTATCAACGGCCAGGCAGCGGAAAAGATATTCACTTTCGCAGGAGCAATCCCATCCCATCAACTCTGCATATTCAATCTCAAAATGCCATCAGAAAACCCATCCATCTTCGTCTGCGGTCCCCAGACCACAACCCTCCCACCCCAGGAATACTTCGTCCATCTACGACAAACCCTGCGCTATGACTCAACGCTGGAAGCAATCGACACCGCAATCGCAGAACTACCCGAGATCTGGAAAACACTCGTGAACGAACATCCCGGGTTGAACGAACTCCACGGCAACGGCATCCTTCGAGACATGAATGGATGGATAACGGGCGATAGCGACAATTTAGGATACTCGAAATCTCTGTTGTCGAATATGCATCTTGGGCCGTTGACCGTCGTGTTACAAGTCATGGAGTATTTAAATTATCTCGCCCGAGAAGGGGTCGATCATTCTGAGGTTATGGGGTCTGTGGCGCGCGGAGGGTTTCAGGGACTTTGTACGGGGTTCTTTACTGCGAGCGCGCTGTCTTGTTCGAAGGATACGGCGGAGATTGGGAAACATGTGGCTGTTGCGTTGCGGTTGGCGCTGTGTATTGGGGCGATGGTGGATTTGGAGAATCAGTCTGGTGTGCTGCCGGCTGGGATGATTTCTGTCACAGTGCGTTGGACGTCTGGATCGGACCGGAGGAGGGTGATGGATATTCTGGGGAGGCACGAAGAGGTAAGAAAGTGCAACGATAAACGATATGATATGTTTGTGTTGTAGAGTGTTGGCTAACAGCTCCTTTCAAATGAAGGCATACCTTTCCGTAAACATGGACACCCACAGCATCTCCATCACAACCGCTGAGACAGACCTACCGTCCATCTTCCACGATCTCAGTCGCATCGGTGTCCAGGTTACTTCCATCGGGTCGAAAGGCAGATTCCATCATCCGCAGGATAGCGCGGCCGTTGCTATCTCGCACAAAGTCTTCGCTGCCTCTCCCGATCTGTTCCATTTCCCACAAGACAACCACGCGTTGGTCCCTCTGCGGAGCAATGATAGCGGTGCGCTCGTGAACCCTGGAGAGCCGCTGCATCAAACGGCGTTGCGATGCTCGCTGCTCGAGATGGCAGATTGGCATGCGACTATGTCTACTGCTGTCGCGACGATTCGGTACCTCTTGCCGAATGATTCACTCCTTGTCTTGGGGTTGGGGTTGGTTGATTGCGTTCCAGAGTCGATTTTGAATGATCGGCGGTCTGTGGTTGTTTATCGTAGAGCGCTTGAGACTTCTTCTATTCAGGGACAGGTTCAGACGCAGGAGAGTTCACGGACCCGAGCCTATCCTGAACATCCTGTTGCGCTAGTAGGCGTTTAACGTGTCGCCTGTACTGTACATTTTTCCAGCTTCGCATCCCAAGCCAATCTGTCGTGAGAGTGGAACAAGGATCATGGGAACAAGTAGACAAACGTGGAAGGCGGGATCATGGCGATAAACTGAAACCTGGAACCAAGACCGAATAAGATCCAGTTTGGGGCATCCAGTCCATGGTTCCTACTCTTTTTTCGCCTCCGTGCAACGCAAACATGACAAGGGACCAGGCGTGGCTTATTCACCATGATTTAATGGTTCCCCAGATAACGGTGCGTGGATACAGTTCACGCGAGCTTATCGATACGCTCGCTTGAACCGTTCCATGGTGTGGGTCCGCCAAGCCTTGATTTATAAGCAGAACGATTCGCATGACCTTTTTGTATTTCTATTTCACTTATTTACAGTGAAAAGAATAAGATTTTATTAAGTAGTTTCTAAGAATCATTAAGTACTTAATAAGTACTTAGGCTGCGGCAGGTCGTACGACATCAACATTTTTTCATTATCGTAGTCAGCAACTGATACGATATTGATTTTTTCCAATATCGTTGTCATATATATGATATTTAACAAACATTAGATGATATCAATGAATATTATACAAATATTCGCATTAGTATAAAACTCATTAATTTATTTTATTTTGAACAATCGAATGATAATTATAAAATTGATCAATTATTATTTTATAATTGAAAATTTATATATTTGATTATAACAATATTCATTTATTATTTTTTTCACTTGTCATTGAAAATAATGAAATATAATATTGTATTTATAAATTAATATTGTTAATGTAACAATATATATTTTATTTAGATAACAAGCATATTATTGTTGCTTGTAATTTTATAATTATTAGTTAATAAATAATTGTTAGATAAAAATATATATTTAATATATAGACAATGTAGTACGTTTTTTTATAAAGTTTTAATATAATATCTGAATTTATAAATATTGCAGTTTTAATATTCAAAATAATATTTATAAATTTATGAGAGCTTTGTCTCATTATAGAATTATTTTATTTAATATATTTATATATAAAAATAAAATGCAATTTATATTTGAAGTTTTCAGCTTGCGAATTTAAACATTTTTTTTAATTTAAATAATTGCAGAATAATCGTCTGATATTCAACATAAATTAGATAATATCGTTCAATGTCGTTTGATATTGATTAAATATTAGATAGATTAATTAACAAATATTCATTTTTATTTATTTATATTCAATTAACATTGAATATTATTTTCAACATGTTAAAATCACGTCAACATTTATTCATAATCCTGTTTTTATTTTATAATTGAATTTTTTGTAAGACTTCTACTCGTTGTCAGGAACCTTCCGGCATGTTCCCATGAACTTGCCGGTAGGATCCCTCCATATGGAACTTCCCGTCAGGAATCTCCCGATTCCTGGCAGTCATGTTGGTAATAGACAGTATTATAAATAGGGGCTTCTGCTCACATTCAGTTGCTGTATTCTATGGAATTTATTCTTTGCTAATATATATCTACATTCAATGATTTATGTTTCTTACATTAATAAGTTGCATTTTATTTAATCAATTGAAATCTCGTTTCATTTTTTGTTTAATTCTTTATTTGATTATTTGTTTGCATTGCTTTGATATCGTCAAGTTCTTTTAGAATTTTTTTAGAATCTTATTAAAATCTCATTAAAATCTTGTTAAAATTTAGAATGAATCATTCTATCAACAGAATCTCGAGCAGAGTTGATAGTGTGATTTTGCAGCATTCTTTTAAGAGTTATGGCGAGTCTGTTGAATCTTTGATTTTTAATATTGTTATAAAGAAATCAATAAAAATAAAAACGATTGTAAAGATCATTTTTGTCAATATTTAATTAAAATTAAAAGCAATTTTTATTGCGATTGTTTTTATTTCGAATATTCGTTTTGATTTTAACAATATTGATGCGAACAAGAGAAAATTTTTTGAAGTGTTTCATATTGAATTGCAAAAATATTGATGAAAACAGCAATTTTGAAATTCTTTGTGTTTTCTTTGAATGTTCTTTCGAGGCCTTTGCTTTTTATTATCTTATTAAAACATTTTTTAAAAGTATGAAAATCGACATGTTGAAAATGCAGATTAAGGTTCTCGAAGAATAAATAAAGGTTTATGAAGCGAAAAAAAACAAAATTAAAATATTAATTTACATGCAAAGTGTTCGCGTCGAGTGTTATAAGAAGAATTTTGCGAAAATCAATTAGTTGATTCTTTATTTGCAAGAAAAGATTGTTTATTTGAGAGTTGTTATTGAGCAATCTGAGCTTTTTAAGCAGTCTAGAGCTTTAGCACAATTTAAGATTTTTTAATTTCAAAATCTGCGGGTTTTTATTAAGAATGAAAATAGTTATTAAATTGAAGAATTTATTCAAAACGTGAAAGACAATTTGTTTGATAATCTGTATAAAAATTTGTGTTTTAGCAATTAATTTTGATATTTTGAATTTTAACATTTCAAATGTCAGCGCATTATTAGGCTGCGGCAGCATCCGCGAAAATCCAAATCCGCTCCACAGATTGCGGATATGAATATGATTCTGACATCCAACTATCCGCACGAATTAAATACGGATTTAGACTTCAAAAAATTGGATATCCGCGGATATCCAACGGATTTGAAAACAATACAAACATGTCAAATCTCATGATCTGATTCAACATGCACATCTTATACAGATTTCAAAATAATATTCTGTATGACCCGCGTTATGTATTATTAAATTAATTACATATTCGTGATACAAATATTATTTTTAATGATATATCACATTAATTCATTCTTCAACTACTTCATTCAGCATATTATATAATTATACTATGACTTGCCTATCTCGAATCCGTTTGATAGTCGTGATTTTTTCCAAATTCTTCCTATTCGGATCTATGTATCATTGAATGCCATTTCCTCAAACAAAACACTATCTTTCAGATTTAAACTATCTATCGGCCGTTTTAAAAAACAAAAGATCACCAATTCATCTATATTATTATCAAAAATCTCTTATTGATTCTCCTTTTGTAACTTTTCTTAACATCCTTCTTTTTCATTGTCGTTAATCGATTCTATAAACTCAAATAATAATAAAAATAAACAATTCTGATCAAGCATAACAACTTTATTAAATGAAAAATATTTTTTAATCATTTCAATCTCTGCCTATTTCAGCTCAAATTTAGATGAAAAATAATAAAACATTAGATTTCTAATTATGTCTGACTTAACTGCCCACAACAATAATAACAGATATCACAAACACAATTGAATAAACGTTCTACTTCTACTTCACTAACAAAAATTGAGAAAATATCTCGTGCAATTCTAATAAACACTAAAAATTCTTGCTCATGTTCTTTTCAATAAACACATAAATTTTCCTTATTAAACCCTAATTTTTTATTAAATGCAGTAAACAAATTAAATCAATAAATAATTCACTTTTCAATAAATATCGTATAACCTCATCTTGCTGACCATCAAATTCGTCAATAAAAAATATACTTTGTTGCAAGTCACAAAATATTGCAAATTCTTCATTCTTTATATCATTAATTTTCTTTGAAATATCTGATGAATAAACTTTTTTCTAAATTTATTTTTGATAAATTATAAACTCATTTCAAAATGCATCTTAATATTGTTTCATGAAATCAATCTCATCATTTTTTCAATTCTCATTATCAAAGTATCGTAACTTCTTTAATGAATATAAAATTGTTATTAATGCATAAATTATATCATATGCATTATCATCAATTCCACTATAATATTTGAAGAACCTTTTCTATACCAGCTAAAATGCCTGAAACATGCTTTTCTTTCAATATACACATTTATTCCTGAACTTCTTCTCAGCCTCTTTCAAATGAATAAAGAATCTATTATAAATGCTAAAGACATGATGTACTGTGCAATCCCTAGTCTTTGATAAAACATTGATAAAATCAAAGAAAGATTTGATAATTAACAAAAAATATTCAATCTAACACCATTCCTCATTATTAAATTTAATCTGAATATATTAATTTGTAATACAATACTTATCAAAATAAGATTGAAGCTTCCGCGCACGAAAATGCATCAAAAAAGTTGAGTTCCAACACGTGCACACATCTTGAATTGAAACAATCTTTGATTTCTTTTTTTATAATTCTAAAAATGTCTCACGACACTATAGACTTGCATTAATAAATATAACAATCTCTCAAACCTGTAATAATGATTAATTAAATTCATTAAAAAAGAATCGAATTAAAAAAATCTTTTTAAAAATAATTATAATTGAACGAACAAAACACTTCATCTATAAATCGAAATTTTGTTCATTTGACCACTCTAATTCGACTTCATCATTCTCAAATGCGACTTTTAGCTTTCCAAAAAGCTCTTATAAACAAAACTAAATCACATAAACAATACAAAATACTCGAAAAACAGAAATACCATATTAAAAAAAAACTAAATTGTTTTCTGAATATCATTCATCATAATATTGTTGTTTATAACATTATCAATTATAATTGATAACACTCGATCGACAATTCTATAATATTGTAAAATCTGAACAACAATATTACTCAGATTACTGTCAGTATGTGATTCATAAAAATGTTCAAACCCAAATAATATTTCATGATAGTTCCAATCTTGATCAATGAAATACCCAATAATTGTCATAAATACTTATTTAAATGAAGATGTTCAACAATCAAATGCAATTAAAATTCAACATTCATCTAACAATTTATTAAATATCTTTCACTACTGAATTTCCACTAATATATCAAAAAATCGTTGTATTGTCTGGACAAAAGAAATATTAAACTTTGATTT